AACAATTCACACCAGACATTAATGATGTAAGACTTACTACAGATGATATGTTACATTTTCCTTTTCATGAGAATAGTCTCCATCTGTAGTAATAGCCTAATTTTAAAAACACTTCACTTATTTTTCCATAGCAGATTAATGAAGAAAGTCCATTTAGGTGATTTTAGTATGTGTGCATATGTATGCAATCCAGATCATCATGGCTAAGGCTGCAGGTGGACCCAAAGCTCCCAAGCAGAGAGGCCACTGGGACAAAGATGGTTGGGATGATGAGCCTGATCATTTTGAAACCAACCATTAGAGGGCGTACTTGCACATACAAATCCTTCTGTCAGTAGGTCTCCGAATGTGTGTTTCCTTACAAGTCGAGAACAAACCAATGGCGGAACGATGACTCACTCACAGAGCACTTACATTAGGCCTTTGGACTGTCGATACTAATATTGAATTTAATTTTAGCACGTTTAGTATAAGTTCATATTTTTCCAAGTGTGACTCTAACAACACTGAGAACTTTCACAAAAAGGCGAATGGTGTGATCGCATGCTGCATGGATTTTGAAGTGTTGTAGGGCCTGTGAATGCTGAAAATGTGTCCCTTTTGGTTCAATTTAAAAACCTTTCACTTTGTTAATTTGAGATTTTGGGTAAAAATGTGCTGAAATAACTATTATAGGTATAATTGGCCACATTCAAATCTACCTTTGTTGTGTTGTGTGATAATGTTACGATGATATTCCTCAGACCTCCCTTCATTTTATTGCTATCCTCAAGGCATAAAAGCAGCTTCATGGACCTCAGTAATATTATTTCCCTTTGACAAGATGCTAAGTGTCCTTATTTGGTTTTCAGATTATCATGGCCAAACCAGCAGGAGGACCCAGAGCTCCCCAGGGCAACAAGGACTTTGATGATGATGACTGAACCTAAAGCTTCCCATCCGATATTCCTGTTGCATTCAAAACCTTTTCTACTTGTTTATTTAATGCTCAACTGTTTGGTTTATTTTGTGGACGATCTCTGGTTGCATTGATCAACAACAAATATGGAAGAAGAAAGTACAGATGGCTCTGTTTGCATTCTATGTTCTTAGGTCCCAAATAAAAGGCGCTTGTGCTGTAAACTGCTGGTTTGGATTCTTTTCATTTATTCCTGTTTAAATGGAAATTAGAGTAATTCACAAATTCATACTGTGAATACCCTAGATGATATATGTATTAACAAAATATTTAAAAAGTATTTTTATGTAACTCTTACCTTATTACCACAAACGTTTGTGTTTATATTAGACCAACACAAAGCAGACGACTGCATAGAGAAAGGAAAATATTTCCACAACATTATGCATCCACTGCCATGTATCAGTGAGAGTCTATTTGGTTTGATGCAACAAACGGTGATCTGGTTTCACTGGAGTTTATATAACTATCGTAGTTGCAAACAAAATGGGGATTTTTCTTTAATGCTACCCAGAGGTTTTGCCTTTTGGATACCGAGACAGTTTTCCAAACTGGTTATTTTTTAAAAGGATGTTTTTATTCCTTGTTCTAGCAAAACTTTGTCATTTTGTATACACATAGTGTACCCAAAACAAAATTTCAATACATACAGCTTTTTGACAGTGAATGAGCAGCTTAGCATTGGAATGAACATGTCTATAAAGTGCAGCAGTGTTAAAAAATGTAAACAGTGTAGGAGAGAAATGGTGCAAAAGGTATTGATGTGGAAAGTTCAGAGCAGTGCAAAAAATAGATATAGTACAAAATGTAGTAGATGATAAGGGGTTTGAAAACTTTCATAAAACTTTTCATATCCAAAGTGCCATTTTGCCCAGCTAAAAAAAAATAATTTAAAGCTGCAAAACATGACTTTTTAATAAATAACCACCTAATATTTTTGTTAAATATCTCTCATAGAAAATCTGCTGCCATCTTAAACAACCAACATTTAATTTGTATTTATGCGATTCATAGTCATTTAATCCTTCAGGCATGATTTGATTAAAAATATATTTCCAAACTAAATAAAAAAATACTTAACATATTTTTCATTATATTGATATTTTGTTGTGCAAATCCAGTTCAAATATTGTTTGTAAAAACTGTATTATTACAGTAGGCCTACATTAGTTAGTTCTTATATCATATTGGCCATTATTAAGGGCCATTGCAGATGGTCCAAAGAGCCTCCTGTGGCTCCGGACCCACAGGTTGTAGACCCTTGTTATAAAGCCTTGCCGAGGTCAATAAAAACCAGATTATCAATAGATGTTGATACCTCCTCCATTCGTTCTCTGACAGCCATTGAAGCTGACCTATTGGATTTAAAACCACACTGATGTTCATTTAACAGGTTATGCTTGTATACAAAGCTATCAAGTCTTTTAACAAACAACTTTTCCAGTATTTTTGAAAATTGTAAGAGTATCAAGATTGGTCTGTAGTTGGTGAACTGATTCATATCTCCACTTAAAAAAATAAAAAAAAAGGCAGGCAGCTGGTATTCTGTGGGTAATGCAGTGGCCAGCGCAGTCACCAGATATGAACCCCATTGAGCTGTTGTTGGAGCAGCTTGACTGTATGGTACGCAAGAAGTGCCCATCCAACCAATCCAACTTGTGGGAGCTGCTTCTGGAAGCATGGGGTGCAATTTCTCCAGATTACCTCAACAATTTAACAGCTAGAATGCCAAAGGTCTGCAATGCTGCAATTGCTGCTTTAACGAAAGCAAAGTTTGATGTAAAAAAAAAAATATTTTTTCAAATGCAAATCATTATTTCTAACCTTGTCAATGTCTTGACTCTATTTCCTATTCATTTCACAACGTATGGTGGGGAATAAGTGTGACTTTTCAGGAAAACACAAAATTGTTTGAGTGACCCCAAACTTTTGAACGGTAGTGTACATTTAAAATAAGAAAGAACAATCACATTGTCTTATTTCAAGTGCATAATACCTAATTATCCTATTTTAAGAATAAAAAAACTAATTCAATTGGCAAATAAACCTTATTTACCAGCTCAAATTAAGGGTAAATACACTTAATTTAAGACATTTTTACTGATTTTTAGATTGCAGTTCGGTGCAATGTGACATTGGTGGATGGATGGAGACATGATGTTCCAGATATGCTAAATCGGATTCAGGTCTGGGGAACAGGTACAGTAGGCCAGTCCATAGCTTCAATGCCTTCACCTTGCAGGAACTGCTGACACACTGCAGCCACATGAGGTCCTGTATTGTCCTGTATTAGGAGGAACCCATGGCCAACCACACCAGCATATGGTCTCACATGGGGTCTGAGGATCTCATCTTGTTACCTAATAGAAACAGAAATAGAAATTTATTGATCTCACAATGGAGAAATTAACTCTCTGCATTTAACCCATCCCTTTGGGTAGCAGTGGGGTGCGATTGTGCAGTGCCCGGGGAGCAGTGTGGGGTTAAGGATCTTGCTCAGGGACCCAGTGTGCAGGCTGTGGGGATTAGAACTGGGTACTTGGAAACCTTCTAAGAGCACAAGTGCACTGCTCCCAGTCTTGTTACTTCTGGTGAGCACACGCAGCCCCACACAGCCCTAACATGTCCCTAGATGGATGGATATTAAATGGTCTGTCCTTATAGAGCTCTTTATCAAGTCCAATGACCTCAAAGCAATCTATGTTCACACTTCTGGATTCTGGAAATTAGAGCTATTCAATCAATGCTGGTCTAGCCACTGGGCGTATAGGGCATTTTATCTTTGGGCTGAACATTAATCATTATTGAATAATTTATAAATATAACAAAGGATAAATAATGGGTTATACAAAAAAATAGTCTTTATCCTTCAAAAACCATTCAGAAAAGGGTTTCGTCTGAATGAAGGTTATACTTATTTGAAACCTCTGAATTGTGTGTATATCTGTTGCTACGCATCATTTTTTGGAGCCAGTCCAAGGGGGGGAGCTAGATGGGGGGCCAGGGGTGGACATGGCCACCCAAAACTAATCATTTGCCACCCCTACCATTTTTTCCCCTCTAATACAGACGGTGGCAGCAGTGATACTCTCAAGTGGAATATTCAAAACATTAAAGTTTTATATATATCAACAATTACTTGACAACAAATACAATGTGGTTAATTATGCACATCAATATACTAACATTACAGATGATAATTCATGCTCTTTTCAGAACTAGATTTTGTGTTGCAGGGGTAAAGAGAAAATGATGTCTCTGAAAGTCATCTATGAGTCTTAAGTGAAATCACAAACAACTATTTTAATAAAAACCTAATAATCAATTTGTGTATATATTAGTACTTGTAAATATACATTTTATGCAGAATAATTGTTGATAAAAGTAGGTAAGTAATGACAAAGGAAGAGATGTTTGCCCCAGAACTCTAACCTGAAAGACTTGTATCCACTATACCTTTTATCTAGAAAGCACGGATGTTGAAATATATGCGTCTATTTGTTAGTTAAGGCTTTAGGAAAGTATAGTTTGTCTTTATTTAGAAAATATGGATTTTGCACTTGTTAATCTTCCTGTAGCAGTAGTGTAAATTGACCATGAGATTTTGGCGCCTATTCACTTTTGGCCCCCCTCAGTGTACACTGGTTATTGCCTGGCCACCCTTATAAAAATGTTCTGGCTACGCCCCTGCCCAGTCCAGCCCTGTGTGAAATGACCCAGAATACATATTACAGTTTAATGATACTGAGCAGCAGAGGGAGCCACACGTCTAAATCCGTCGACGTGTGGGCGGATTTGCTCTGACGTTGCCCACATTCGGGATTAACTTGTTTTTATGTCGCCATATCCCTCGTATATATATTTTTTTCCTTTTGCACAGGAAGGTCAAAGCCGATAATGGTGAGAAATATCGACAGGATCTGTAGACTGTTCATTTGAGCATCATTCTTTCGCTTGAAATGGGACGGCGATGTCCTGTGGCGCCTGGCCGAGGAGCAGCAGACACTGATGTCCCGACACCCCGATAATACTAATAGGAGCAATGGGGGCAGACGGAAGTAAAACCAGGAAGGTGAGTGGAATGGAACTCCTGGTTGCTAAGGTGTCACGTTCTACGTGCTTCCCTGTTTCTATGGCGATGAGCTGGTCTCCAGGATACGATTCTTCCACAACCAGAATGGAGATCATTTTAACCTTTCCAAACTAAAGAACTACATTATGGTAAAAAAGGAAAAAAGAAAATAATTCTACCTACCAATTGTTTGTAAATTGAAATATTTAGGCCTACTTCTCTGCTTCTTCATAATTCACTGTGTGGGGTAAATAAATGGCTTTAATTGTGGGACTGTATACAAACAGAATTAGTTCTGGTATTCTAAATATGTTACAACTGTAAAATAAAAATAAATTAGGTGCACAATTAAGGAATAACAGTGATTTTCTAAATGTAAATTACACAACATTAACACTCAACAACCACTGAGAAAAAAAATAATGCATCTGCTTTTGGCATTTACTTACTCATATTTAGTTACTTTAACACAATTGTTTTTTCATATCCTGCTAACATAAAACAATTGTGTTTTATAAAAGTTACTAAATATGATTAGGTAAATGCCAAAAACGGTTGCATTATTGTTTTCAGTGCATTGAAAAATGGTCATCTGTTGTTGTTCAAGTTCAAGCTATTTTATTGTCTTTATAGGGATACTTGTGCATTATGTTTCTCATTTAGATCAATAAAATGTCCAGGACTCTGGAGAAAGACTAAAATCACTGACTACACACAGGGAACAGTACACCTAATGACCTTAGAACAGTTAAAATTGAAGGAAACACTGTTGAAAATTATTATTTAATATAAATAAAAAATGCAAAGAGGATAAAAATCCTAAAATGATCTCTGATTGTTTACAATTTTGAAAAATATCTCTGCTCCTTTGCTTCTAATTTGTCAGAGGACCGCGGGAGGGGTGGAGGATGAGCACATCACTTCAGGATGGCGAGGTCTCCTCTCCAGTGTGGGCCTGTCTATCCCAGCAGGCCTCTGCCGCCTGGCCCCACCAGCCCTCCGTCTGGGCCAGCGCCGGATGCTCCAGGGCAAAGCCCCTGAGGTCCCTGAGCATGTCTTGAGGTTGGCGGGAGTGGGTCTGGGCAGGCCGAGGGGAGAATGGAGCCTTCCAGGATTCGTTACCATGTTTCTGCCTGAATTTCCCCACAGACCTGTGCCAGGACACGAACACTTTCAGGTAAAAATCACAGTTCAAAAAACAATCTCTTCTACTATAGTCTATAGTCTGCTTTATCTTCCTCACTCAATCTTTACTCTTTCTTCTGGCAAGGTGCTTGGTTACATCGCTAAAGGTTCGTTTGGTCCCATTCTAAAAGTGAGGGACAAGTCCAAACAGAAAACATATGCTGTAAAGGTGAGTCTGCTTTAATCTTTATTTTAAATAGTTTTATTTGGCCTATTAGGATTAGGAAATAAATACTGCTTTTATCGTTTAAGTCAGAAATTCACATTCACCATAGGTTATTATTTATCTAACAACATTAAGCATATTACTGTATATGACTGTAAAGGTATATAGTGTATAAGCAATGCAATTGTACAGTATTAATTCACAAAAACAGTTTTAAATAGATTTTTTTAATCTACTTTTTTATTGTTTAACATCTTGGTTCCTCCTTACACTGTAGTATTTTACCGTTTAACATGTCCATAACCTCTTTTTATTTGAACCTTTTCATGTTTTTTCAAGTTACAAACACATTTCAACCCCTTTCATTATTTCTTTTATGTAAAAAAAAAAAAAATCTATATGTCTGTTTGTATTTTAATCCTGTTAGTCTGACATAAAATGAAAAATGCAGTCTGATCAATTTTCTCCAACACAGCGAAACATTTTTAACACCTACAGAATTGAATATAACTCTTTCAGATAACATTTGGTCCCACTCCAAATAGAGTAAAACTTACTCTATAGCCAGTGTCAAGTTTTCAGTGTTAATTTTACTCATTTTAGTGTCAAAATCCAGAAGATCTCTCAGAGACTGGCGGCTAATCAACAACCTAGAGTGTAAAAGTAACACTGCATGGCTATCAAAATTTTCACTGACTATTAACTCCAACATTTAAGCAGATTTACACTCAGTATATTTGTAAATCCTCTAGTAAAATAGGTTGATTTTAAATGTTTAATACCCAATGTTTTGCTATGAAAGGACCCTAAATTAACACTTTAGATTTATCTGTTTTATTCAGCACGGTTTTCATGTCCCAACAGGTTATACCTAAATCAGAGATTTTAAGACTGGCCGTGTTGGAGCAGTCTAAAGAGGAAGTTATAGTTCAGGTAAGCAAATTCTGTAAGGTCTTCAAAAATATTCCGATCATGTTTCTCTAGATGCATGAACATTTCTTTCAGTAAGTTCATGTGCAATCTGTATCTCCTGCTTAGTAAGGTTTACATTTAGAATATAGTTTTTTAAGAGTTTTTTTGTCTGGTACCCAGAGGGGGATTTAGGAAATTTGGGGCCCTAGGTAAAGACAGGCATGGGGGCTCCGAGACACACTTAATATTATAAGAATTCTGATAGCATTTTTGAGAAAGGATTTTTATCAAAAGCATAATTATTGTGCACAAATAAGTGAAAGCTGTATTAACCTTACATGTAAATGGAGCTTTATTGGGCCTCCAGGAACTTGGGGCCCTAGGCTACTGCCTAATTTTGCCTAATGGTACATCCGCCCCTGCTGGTGCCTTTTATTTACGTTATAGTTCCATCGTTGATTTTAAAAGTTTGAACGTCTCTTAGACCTAATGGAGTTTTATTTCTGACACACAGAAACAACAACAAGAAAAAAGTCTGTTAAAACCAATGAGCAAAAAAGTGACCCTCATGAATGAGCTTTTTACAGATTTTAATTTTTAACCTTTGCCCCCGCAGAGTCAGGTTCGCCACCCGTTTGTCCTCGACCTCCAGGACTGCTGGCAGACTCAGCGCCACCTTTACATTAGTGAGTCAGCCAGCTAGCAGTGACCCACTCCTACCCAGATCCACAACCTAAGAACCCCTTTCTTTGCCTTCTGTCCCTTATTTAGTAGTTCTATCCATGTTTATCTCCCCACAATCCCAAACTCAACACCTAGAACCTACTAAAGCTTGTAGTTGCCTCCTCACCAAGCCAGCTCTGCAGCATGCAGCTGTGCTGCTCTTCTCTCTCCCTCCAGAGAATTTATCCCTTTTTTCCCCCGTAATTATTCACTGACTCAGAAAGTGTGACCCACTTAGTCCGCCTCCCCACCCCCTGTTAAAAGACAACTGCTGTGCAATAAAAACACATGCTACAATCAAAAGGGAAGGGCTCCACTGCATGATTTAAACCAGAATGCTTTTTTTTATTCACATAGTTGCTGCAGCTTACTTGTTTAAACAAAACCGGAAGAGTATCTCCTTTATTATGTTTTGGAAAATTGCTTTAATGTTCTTCCCTTTAACACAAGTTTCCCATCTTCTTGTTTTCCACCAGTGTCTCTTTATTTCCTCTTTATGTTGCCCTTCACTGCTTCTCATATCACCAAACTGTCGAGGCTCATTTTAAAACCCATTCTGCTTCAACAGTGTGCGACTACTGCAGTACAGGGGACCTCTACACCTACTGGCAGATGATTGGTCAGTTCTCAGAGGAAACCGTGCGGATATTTGCAGCAGAGTTGGGATGTGCTCTAGGTTTGTGTGCTACATATTACTATAAATATGTTATTTATGCTAGTTATGTGTTTATATAAAAGTTAAAGCACAAAGTTAAAGTTTGTTTTATTTTGCTTTTAGTTGAACGGGATACAGGATTCATTTGTAAAAAAAACATGTAGGAATATAAAATGTAGGTCTTTGGGAATTACAATTTATTTTGGAGGTGTTGCGCTTTATCAAATGTGAGGCAATATATTAGTTTTTTGCTGGTTTTACTGTAAAAATAGGCCTTTATCTTTACATTTAATTTCACTGCTATTTGGTGTTTGTCTTTAAATTAGCTAAATTATATCCTTTGCATTCAGTGCTTTAAAATATATATTTATATAACATATTTATACTTCTTATAAACTGGGGAATAATATTACTTAAAGGAAAAGTCGGGTCAGCAAAGAATGATAAATGGATCATTAACTATAACTAAAACTTATATGTCCGCTATTATTTGAATGAATTTAGCGTTAATCAGTAAAAAAATTTAAATAATACTTTTTCCACAAGATCACTGAGTCCAGGATCGGACATTTTTGCCCAAATATAGTAACACCTCACTCCTGACCTCTTCCGGCAGTGACATCAGGGTGCAGTAAGCCTAGCCCCATTCTCCCTGCTTTACAAGCAAAATCGATGGAAGCTACTAGACGCATCTGCAATCAACAACAATTATTTAAGATTTTGAGAGGTCTTCATTGAAATTTGCGAGAACTATAGTTAAACAGACAATGCCCACATGCATGCCAGTTGGATGTTGCAATACATCGGGTAAAAATGAAAAAACATTAGTTATTTCACCTTTCCGATTCATGATCCTGCACGGATGGCTTCGTCACTGGATTTCCAACTTGAAGAGGGAAGATTAGACATTGAACTTCTGGCCAGAGAAAAAACACGTAATATGTAGCCAACATTTTGAAGAAGAATGTTTTCATGATGACCTGGATAATAGCGCGTTTTGACAAACACCAGATACAGCACTGGGACTTGCTCAACAGCCGATACCACACATGACGTCACAAACCTGTAGGTGACAGTAGTGCTCTTTGACAAACATGGATGCCCTCAGTAAAGCACATTCAAATGAAAATTACTCTTAATTAAAAACACTTAACATTTATCAAACAGTATGTTCTAAATTTATATTTATTAGAAGTATTTTCAGAAGTTTGTATTCTGAATATGACCGGACTTTTCCTTTAATAAGACAACAAGGCTAGAAAAAATAAATAGAACGTTTTAAGACCTGGATTTGAAAAACAGATCTCTGGAAATCTTTTCTTTCACAGCAAGCACCTGAAGGCACCGTAGTCAGGTGATTTTGATGGGGGTTTTTTTGTTTATTTTTTAACCAACAAATCATTGTTCAGTAGTCTTAGAGAAAGCAAATATAGTTTATTTTTCCAAATAAAAATCTTTCATGTTTTATAACAAATCTATACATTCTGCTTGTAAAAATAAGTGTTTAGATATTATTAGACACCCAAAAGCCAAACTGTTCTACACATCATCCCTATTAAGATAATTACTCCAAATTAAAGTTGATAATTTTCTTTGATTGCTCTCTACGCTTCTGATCATTTAGAATAAGGTTAAAGTTAAAAAAATATTTCAACCGGTTTTAAACATTTTCTTTTTGGTCTAAGTGTAGTTATTATCAAAATGGTTAAACTGAACTGCTGCAGGATCTGCTATGGATTAAAGCAACAAGTCATCTTAGAGCAAAGCTGTGCCAGTGTGCGCCGGAGTGTATCCACATTCCTTAAGAGGAATTTTCGGTGGCCCTTGATCACAGTTAGAAAACTGAGTGTGCCATTGATGCAGATACACATTTAAAATTAAACCTAGGATTCAAATGTTACTTCCAAAAATGATACAGTAAAGTTAAAACCTTGAAATGAAAAGTTTAATTTGCAACACCTTTTTTTTTACCCTTTATCAGTTATTTTTGACCAGGCAAAGCTGCTAGAGTTTCCGATCCTTAGTCTACAAGGGCACACAGATCTGGTTTCTAAATAAATTGGACTGCATTGCTTGTTTCAATGAAATATTGCATGATTATTTCATTGTGTTACTTGTTCATTTTTAAACAATAGCTTTTGCTATTTTAATCAAATAAAAATTGAAACTTTTTGCCCCAGAAGGACTTCCAACATTTTTGGTCCTGATAAATTAAAAGTTTGAAACCCCTGCTTATTCTTTTTCTTCATACACTAACCTTGTTCCCTTTTTTCATGCAGGGTTCTTGCATGACTTTGGGATCATCCACAGAGATGTAAAGGTGAGACAAACAATTAGCTACATTGGGCCTATAATTTTAACCCTCTATAAATAAATATGTGACAAATTAAATGAAAACACATCATTTTGTGAATTTAAGAAAGAAAACTTATATTTTATATATGAGGTTTGTTATTTGAGAGTTTTTCTCTCACCTCCTAATGTTTGTCTGAAATGAATGTCCCTCTTTGAATCTTTCAGATGTTTCAGATGTTTGGGTTTTTATTTGCCTCTTTCATCATCTTACTGTATTTTTGTACAGAGCTTACTAAGCAGTTATTTTTCTTGATTTAACGTGACCCTGCAAACTGAATACTCTGTTAATCAGTGTGCAAAGCAGATCTATTTACTTGTTGCATCTTTTGTGCGGATATGAAACTTTGTTTCTGTTAATCCTCGTAAAGACGGTTGTTTTTCTGTCCTTTCTGCCTCGGCCAGAGGTTCTGCAGCCTGTGGCTCTGCAAGCACAAGTAGCTCTTTAGGCTTTTTACAAAGGCTGTTCATAACTTTGTGTAAGCCTGATAGAGAACCTACTAATATATGCAAATAAAGAGCAGCTTTTCCATTCTATCAAGGGATTATACATTAAATTTCACAACAAATTGACTTCTTAGGATTTATATTTCAAATGATGGTTTTTAAATGTTACATGCAGTACATGCTGTATCTGTTTTAGGTAGCAACTTGCAACAGCCACAACAGCAATGAAGAGACAAAGATGACAATACGAAAGAGGATAGAGGGGACCAGGGAAATTGCAAAGATCAAAGTGACAAAAAAACACAAATACTAAAACTGAGTTACATTTATTTGCATTGATTTCAAAAAGCTAACAAAAATCATAAAATAATGTATCTGCACTCACCACTATACTAGTCCTAAAATATCCACAATGCTCCTTATATGCAACTTTACATTAAATGTAGAATATGATTGTAACTGTGGTTCATTGAAATGTGAGTTTTAAATACGTTTGAACTGATAATAGCAGGATTCGGTTTATTCTTTTATTTTTGCCCATTTTTTTCTCAGTAATTTTTTAAAACCACAGTGCAATAAACTGAGAGTGGGCAGGTAAAATATAAGGAGAAATATATAAAAGCTCCAATTCATAATCAATGGATAAGGCTTCAAATTCAAAGACTTTTTAACATTCAGAATGACTTCCCTCTTTCTTCTCCATCTTTATCCACCTTATGTGTGATCTCCTTCTAGATATTTGATGGTTTTTATTGTTTCCACTGCATTGAAATGCTATTTTGAAACCTGTAAGATGACAGATGTTATAACAATGTGTTTAAACATACAATTAGACACACATTAAGAAATTTAATTCCTCACTTCCAGATGGAGAACATCCTGCTGACAGACAATGGTGAGTGAAACAGTGAATCAGCAGAGGGCAGCAAACCTCTGAGCACAGGGGCTACTGCAGAGTCTTTGCTGTCTATTCACATTTTAATCTTTTAACAATAAGGTTATGTTATATTAAAATAGGATGTGTGCAGTTTTTTTTGTAACTGTTGAATGTCTTATAGGGAATCACAGTAGATGCTTGTAATGATTCATAGAAAATTATCCTTTGTAGGCCACCTTCGCCTTGCTGACTTTGGTTTGTCCCGTCGCTTAGAAAGAGGAGGCAGAGCCTTTACAATCTGTGGAACCATCCAATACATGGGTAAGGAAAAACTGCCAGAGCTGTGCATGCTGAAATGCGTGAATACACCAATATTTAGAGGGTTGTTTTTTTGTTCTGAAGTAAGGGTGAGAATGTAAAAAAATAAAAAAAATGAAAGAGTGTTACCATGTTTTTTCTGCTCTGCAGCCCCAGAGGTGCTCAGCGGTGGACCATACAACCACGCAGCCGATTGGTGGTCACTAGGAATTCTGATTTTCTCATTGGCTATTGGGAAGGTGAGCCCTTGTTTCCAATGTGTCTTGAATGATAATCAGGTCAGGAACAGCTAAGCTGAATTTTAGCCATAAAAACAGAAATGTTCTGGTTTGGGTATAATGTAAGATCTTTGTAAGAGTTAAATAAATGTGTCTTAATGTGCCTGTGCAGTTCCCTGTGCCTCCTGAACCTGACCACTGCAGTATGCTGAGGAAAGTCAGGAGTTTTCCTTATGAAATACCCCTCAGCCTCAGTTCATCGCTCTCCATGTTAATAACAGAGGTCTTTCCTAAATATGAAAGCATGTTTCTGACTTAGTGTGACTAAATTAATAACTAAAAAGTCATAATTTGTTATTTTTTAACCAGCTTTTATGCAAAAATCCCCTGCGCCGCCTGAGGACCCTGGAACGTTTCAAACGTCAAACTTTCTTCTTTGGAACATCCTTTGACTTGGACCTCCTTCAGCGTCAGCCAGTGGAGGTGACCGGGACCGTCTGGTTGTAGAAAATTTAGTTGTTTTCTTGCTGATCTAAAGGGAGTTTACTCCTCTGTCAGGTGATCCTGAAGCTCAGAGAGAGACCAGACCGTGCTGCCAAAGCTCGAAGGGGCCTCACGTTGTCCCTGCAGCCTCTGAGGGGCTTCGACTTTGATTCGCTGCTCAGCCCCGCCACCACGCCAGACACACAGCTGGATGGGGATTCACGCACAGCTGTGCTGCTGCCTGGCCCCTCGCTGCAGCCCCTTCAGGAAAAAACTCCACGCAGAGAAGTGTTTGTATAACAGAGCAGAGTCTGGCAGCAAAGTGGAAAAGAAAGCCCTACATTATGTGTAAAGAAAAAACAACAGGCATCTGACAGAAAAACAGAAAATTAAAAATTATGTATTTAAGCACAGAGCCATATTTCCCCATATTAACTGTGCTTTGCAAAAGTACCCCTACCCTTTGAGCTTATTAAACATTATCTCACACTGGATTCAGTTTATGTAGTGAAAAGTGAACTTTATAGACCAATTTAAAGTAAAGCAGTAGCACAAATGCACATAGTTTAATATCTTTTAAAAAGAAAAGCTTTATTATGCAATTGATTTAATTTAACCAATTGGAGTGAATACTCTTGTAGGTTTAATTAAAATGTGTTTCCCCATAGCTGGGCTGCTAATTTCTGTTGCATATTTTGCTGTAAATCCAGCTGGGGGTATGACACTTAACAGCTTTGCACATTCTGACTCTGAACTATTTGTTAAATAGCTGAATCAGATTAGATAGAGAGCATCTGTGAGCATCAGTTTTAAACTCTTGCCACTAATTGTCATTTAGATATATGCAATGACTTTAACTAGGCCTTTTTCAACAAATAAGCAGCCTCTAAGAGGTTTTTCTCCAGTGGTGCCCTGTAATGCTCCTCCCAACCTTCTATCAGCTCTGACTTTCCCATTCCTGCCAAAGATAATGTGTTCTACAGCATGATGCTGCCAACCCTTGGGTGTTCAAGGTTAGATGCACTGTTTGTTTTCTAAAGCACAAAACATTAATTTAGCATGCATTTGAAATCTCATTACACCTGATAACTTCTTTTTTTATGGCACCGTCTACGTAGTTTTTCTCAAAATAAAAAGTTGGCTTCTTCTGCTTCCTTTAAGAGGCCTTCCTTCTTACAATGCTGACTTAAAGTCAGGGTTTATGGATCGGAGAGTGAAACCTTAACCTGAAATATGTTCCAGGACGAAAATCTGAAGCCACAGAAAAGTAGCATTTATGCAGAGATTAAATGACACACCAATTGCCCTGGATCCATTAAGAGAAAACTTGGTGAAAACACTGGCTTTCATTTTTAATTGAAAAAAGAAGCACTATTATGCTTCTTGACCTTGATCCTCACAATATAAAGATGTAATGTGAGTAATTTAGGATTCATGGGTACTTTTGCACAGTGCTACAATAGTTTTTTTCTTTATTTTTCATGTTAACCTTTTCGCACTTAACATGTCTTTAGTAGTATTTGTTCAGTGGTTGTGTGCCATCACTCCTTCAATGAAACATCCAGTGCTTCCTCATAGATCGCGATTTTTAAACATTTGTGGTTATTTGTCATGTTTCCTTTTTTTTTAAAGTGCACAAAAAAGCTATCCATCTGTTATTTAGTCATACCCTAACTTTATGTCCAATGCCCTGCCTGCAGATTTTTACTGAAGTGAGAACATCTCCATTGTTCTCAGAGTGAAGTAAACAAAAGCCTTAGAGTGTGAAGGTCATACTCGTTACTCTGCATTAATGCTCACAACCTGTGACTCAGGGGTGCAATAGCTGGTTTTATCATGATAACTTTACACAGTTAAATGTGAATAAACAGCTCTTTGACATTCATCTGTTTTATACCTACCAAGGCTATTTTCTACTGCAGGTTCCTCACTGACCAGATACATAAATATATTGTGATTTTTAAATGTGATGTTTACCCAGATTGCTTCACACGCACAGTTCAGAGCTTAATCTCTCGGTCACAAAATTCTTATGTACATATATTTATATATGCTTTATAGATAATAGATCTATAAATCTATATCTATATAGATATAGAAGCATATTCCTCTTTATAAAGTTTATATGAACATTTTGGAGAGTATTTTCCTTGTGTGTCATGATGTCTTATTGCATTTGCCATGTAGCACAAACAGGATATTAAAAGAGTTTTTCTGATTTCTTTTGCCTTTGCAGTGTGTTGAAATGATTTTGACCGGAACCCTGAAGTTCTGCAGCACTGCACCACATTATTTCAGCATTTCCTTGCTGAGTTAAGAAATCACATTTTTTTGCATTTACTTAGTGGATTACTCAACAAAACCTACATTTTGAAATAATGTGCTGCTTTTATTTAAAGAGTCTACTTTTGTTTTTTCTGCCATGCTTAAGATATATATTTAAACAATTTATGCAAACACAGTACCTAATATGGGCTTTTACCTACTTTCATTGTGATTATTAATACCGGTACATGTTTTGGAGGGCACTTGGGAAGCAGACTTTAGAATTTATCCACTGACAGTCTTATTAAACATCAAATCCGAAAGGTTTTTGATGTTTGCTTGTAAAAGTGACAATTATATTTAATTCACGATTTACTTAACTTTTTTTTTTCAAAGGAACATTTATATTTTAGGTTTATATGTCTATAACCAGATCAGTATTTTGGCTACAAATTTCTGTGTCTAGACACAAAACACATTCAATGACCCGCTTGCTCCACAAATGGAAGGTGTTTGTTTTAAGCTAAAATAAAGCTACACTACCAGTGGGTTCTCTGCTTTTATTGGCTTGCAAACTCACACGAAGTTATGCATCATTGTGGAGAGAAAGACAAACAATATCCATGATTTGTGGACTTATATTAATCTCCAAAACTTAGTATGTCGTCAAACTTCAACTACTTATATTTTCAGTGTCTAAATCAGCTTTCCCCATCTGGACTGACATATTTGCCTGTTCTTCTTCAAAATAAAAGTAAGCTCAATAAAGATTGTGCAGCCATTGGTTTTAAAAGTCATATTGCAGTTTCACAAATTTCAATAATGTAAAAGCACCTCTAAGGCATGTAAATCTTAGCTCTGGCTGCATGTGGTCCTGCTGGAAGTTGACCTCCATTCCAGTTTGAATTCTATCTCACTGGTTTTTCTTTAGCAGTGTTCCATTATGTATGTCCATCATCCTGCTAGATAGGCTTCTTCGCTCCTGGAGGAAAAACAAGCCAGCAGTATGATGCTGCCACCACTGTGCTTTGCTGTGGGTATGGCGTGTTCGCCATGATAGTTTTCCACCACGAATATTGTTTTGCATAAAGGTGTAAAAGTTCATTTAGGCAAGGCAAGACAACTTTATTTATACAGCACATTTCATACACAATTCAACTCAATGAGCCTCACAGCAACACTAACAATACAAACACAATAAAACAATTTCAACCACTACAAATATATAAAAAAATCATATATTAAAAGTAGTTAAAATACAACAAATCGCCATAGGCACCACTAAATAGACATGTTTTCAACCTGGACTTAAACATAGTCAGGGTTGAGGCCTGTTTTATGTTCTCCGTGAGGCTGTTCCAGACCTTGGCTGCATGAAACTGAAATGCAGCCTCGATATGTTTAGTGGTGACTCTAGGGACCACCAGGAGACCCCTACATAAGGATCTTAAGGCCCTAGGTGGTTCTCTAGGGCCTTTGGAGATGTACTTGGGTGCTAAACCATGAGAAGACTTGTACACTTATAAACTCACCTGATCACAGCACCCCAATTAACATACTTGTTGACAACTAAAAACACCTTGAAATTTTGTCTTGGCTTCTTAGGTTGGTTTTGATTTTTTATTGCACTACCCTTCCTACCACTTCTCTGTTATACATTTGTTTATGTTACTCAAATAAGGATCCATTCAACAAAGCATGTGGTAAAAAATCAGAAGGAGAATGATTTTTTCCAAAGATGTTTCCTTGTTCCTTTACACTTGATAATGTCTATAGGCTGACCTGCACCTGTGCTTACAATAAGTAGGTCATTAAAAGAAGTGTCAATGTGCTGTGTGTATGTCAACATGCTGTTTACAGTGTGACTGATGTGTAATATTGAAGGTCACCACTCATGGGTTCTGATGGAAGCTTTTTAGTAACATATGCAGCTTTAGTTCAAGCCCAACTAATATCATCTGCTGGGTCCGAAAATGTAACTTTGACCACAATAAAGCTGGAATACATCGTTTTGACTTGTTACATTGGCTTTCTTGTAATGACCCCTTAAGACCTTGGATCCCTTGTTTGGTCTTTTCTATATATGCAGGTCTACACCAAAAATAACTTCAATTCTTAGCAATGACTCCATAAGAGGCTCTGAAGACAAGACTCCGACTGTTGCCACTGTACACAGACTGCATGGCCAGTCTGTACGTGAGTAAACTACTGCATAGAGAGCCTTGTCCACAGCCTGCTGCAAGAACAGGCATGTAGTGTAACTTCTGCGTACGGTAGAAATGGTTTGTAAGATGACTCTCGGAAAAAAACAGCAAAGCAACAGCTTGCATAGGTTCCTTCAACAAGAGGGCTGTACTCTGTTTTTAACAAGTCAACTTTGTGTTGATGTCTTCAATCACAATTTTTAAAGGATTGTGATGCGGAGGTAGAAGGTATAGTTTTCAAAATGTCTAAGGAATAAAAAGCAGACACATTTAGATTGCATATGTAATGATCCTCTTGGGTCAGCACTATGAGAAAACAAACTTTTGCTGCAGTTGTTGTTTCTAGGTCTTTGGGGTTAAGTCTGTACCAATTGTGAACATCTAGCAATGTATTCTTTGCAAAACAGCTGAAGCTTAGGCTGATAGGGTTAAAAATGTCTGTAATCAGCAGTTTTTGGGTTAATCTCCTAGTTTGAAAAATATTGTCTTATGTCCAATTGTCCTCTTGGATAACAGCCCAAGGCTGCAATTTCAAGTCCTCTGCAGCTAGGTTCTGAAAATCATATATTTAGGCATCCGTTCCTAACAGTATTCCTGACTGTCTCTGCGAAGCTTGAGCTGTCACCGCTGTGCAGCACACTGGTAAAGGTCTGATAATGGTAAAGTGCTTTGTTAAGTCTTCTTCCCACATCTCTTTTTTTCATTTAGTTTAAACTTTGCATCATCATCTCACCAGAGCACCTTGTGGTAAATCTCACACAGAAATACTTATGGTATTTTTCCAATCATAAAAGCCAGATTTTAGTTTGGACAACTACTCCAAACAGCTTACATTACCTGGAATGTGGACTGCTTACTAATGACATATTCACAATTACCCACTAGGTTTCTGACTGGTGTCGATAGATAGAAAGAAATATATATATTAAAAACATGGAGAAGCAAGTACGGATATTTTTGTAAGGGACTTCTAAAAAGGCTATAATTTCCTTTTGATCTGTTAGCTTTCTTAACCTTTTCTAATCCAACACAACATGTCTGTTTGGAAAAAATGTCCTGCATTTACCGGTAGTTAAGCTAATTATTAAAAAAGTTCACATGTTTTATTAAAGGCCATTTGTTATTTTTTGATTGAAAAAAAAAAGAAAAAAAAGCAGCCAGCAGCTCTGTAACCAGCATGGAGAACACCGAGGTCATGTCCTCGGTATTTTAAAATGTTTTATTTATTTTTTTTTTTTTAATTTAGAGAAATGTCAAACCATATGATGGAAATTGTTATGACTTTGATTGGTGTAAAGATCAGAATGCATTCTCATTTGTTTAAAAAAATAATAAAGTTTGCAATATTATTGCAAGTCATTTGATCCATAGTGAGCCATGCACATGCATGGGGATGGTGGTGACAATAAAAATAGTAGCAATAATAATTCAATATTAATAACAAGAACAAGAACAATAATATAGTATAATGATTATAATAACAATAACACTCACACACTCACTCACTCAAATACTCTTTATTTTGTGAGTTTTGGAACTGTTATAATAAGCATGTTCATATTCACCTCCTTGATGGGCTTGTGATTTAACTCTATTTATTCACGTTTCCAAAATATATTTTAAAAATGTCGCCATCATAGGATGTTTTTTGGTCAAGTAAGATTTATCGCAATATTTGAGCTGGGTATTTCAAAAACCCTGGTTACGGCCCTGGCAGCCAGTGAGGAAAAGATGCAGAATCATGCTGCGTTGCTCTCCATCTAAATGGATGTTTGAGACGCGCATGCGCACTAGACGCAGTATCGCTCCATCACATGACGCAGAGGGTTTAGCTCCTCCCACCGAACCGAGAAGCTTTGAAAAGGGTCACGTCGCGCTGCAGCAGTGAAACAGGAGACGACTCCGCATCTCAAACGTACAGCTCACCTGTTCTGTCTACAGAAGACATCCACTAACAGGTAAAAACCATATTTAAAATAAGAGTTGTAATATGTTTTAGTTTTAATACTTTCAGATTTAACAACTTTGACTGAGACGTTCATGATGATGCTGATGTGGAATGTGATGCTGCGAACCCGAAGCTAACGTTATCATCCTAGCTTGTTAGCTACAAATGATTCATTTTATTATGAGCGTATGTCAATTATTTTGACAGTTAGTCACTAAAACACCCTTGAGCTTTCTAGGTTGTAAATAAATATCCACTTAAAGTTGCGTATTTTGATAAATGGACGAAGTACGCAACAGGAAGGGCGTTAAAACCGTTGACCTTCAAGGATGGAAGTGAAGGAGAGAGGCCTCTTCTGTCGGCTTTCTGTCCGGCCTTAACGTAGCAGAAGTCTACTGATAGAAACGTGGTTGACTTGATGACACATTTGGGGCATAAAAACGTGGTTCGCAGCAGTGGAATAAGATGGGGGAGGGTGATGATGTAGTCGTTTCCTGTCAGAGTATCTGTTCAAGTGCACGTAGACCTCTGGAGTGACGAATGCGGGGCGGGTTTAGGAGAAACGCCATGATAACCGTATATGTAAATTCTTATGTTTATGGAAAAATTTAAAACAAGGAAAATTAGCTGTTAGTTTAGACGCCTTGGAAGTCTTTTTATTTTAAACAAAAACTGTATATTTTCAGCATGTAAAATAATATACCTTGTTGCCAAGCAACATCCCAGCACAAATCTTTTAATGCCTGATTCCTTTTTGAATTTAAACTCAAATATTATTTTTTTCAACTACTAATGCGATCAACTCTTCCTAACAGTTCCAGTAGATGTAAAGCATCCTCATGTAGCCTGTTTTCAACATGAAAGTGCTGCTGTTGTATAACCTGCATCAAAGTCTTCACATCCACTGTAGCCTCCTGTATCAGGGAGCAAATGGGCAGTGCTCCTGCTAGTGCTGCTGGATCAAAGCCTGAAGATAGAAATACAGGGACCTGCATCAGCTCCAAGCCCTGCAGCCTGTCTGGTAAAAACATAGCAAAGCAAGCAGGCTCTTTTTTATGTTTAGCGCTGCTCTGCAGGAGCCATTTCAGCTCTATAGCTTGCAAGCTGGAGACAACAAGTTGGGTTAATCTCCAGAGGGGCAAAATGATGCAGGCAGTGCAGCAGAACATAGATCCCATTTCCATTTGACAGTGCCATCCTCTCCTGACTTTCTTATTGCAAGAGTAATGTATATATATTTCCTATGTGCAAATGCAGCCTGATCCAGTTGATGCCAGCCCACCCAGTCCCTGCTTATATATGCTTGGCATCATAGTTTGCAAGCTTGAATCATGTAGTTTATAAGCTTGCAGAAATGCTTCACAACAGACAAGCTGTAACTTGCTTATTGTATCTGTTGGCAATGATGTTTAAATACTTGTGATCTCTGGCAACTGGATGGTGCTTCTCAAGGTGAAAATGGACACATCAGACACGTAATGGCTCGGTTTCAGGAAGTAATAAATACTAGCATGTCCTGTGTTTACTTTTTTAATGCATCTAGTAAAGTAATTCTCAACATGTTCACTGCCATTGGTAAAGTGAGACATGGGGTCATCTCCTTTTTTTTTATTATTTATTGAGGCTGGTTATAATTAACACATTCTGTATGATTTCAGTACATCCTGTTAGTTTCTGAAGGGATTCCTTGTGACGCAGCAGGGAGTTGTCTTGATGTCGCAATGCAGACCAAGTGTCTGCCTTTTTGAGTCGAGCCGCTGTGCAACAGGCAGGAGAGTACATTTAAGGTGTGACTGGGAGAAAGTCACAACATAATCTCTGCTTCTCTCAATTGGGAGATATATATATACTATTTTAAAATCCCTGTGCAATGAAACAATTAATCAAGCGCACCTCAAACTGGCCTGCTTAGGACTTTTACTACTTTTACCAACAGTAGTGGAGACATGACAGAAGGGTAGCATTTAAATGTCACTAAAATCTAGTGCTGTATCAGCATGTATTTTTGTAATTGTAATTTTCTCCTCAAAAGTTTTCTTCACAAAGTGTGGTAATGATTTCATAAGGTCACCTGACCTTGACAGCTTAATTCAAAACAATAAAAATGACAAACATCACCGGAGCCCAATATTTAAGGTTAAAGAGTTTTTTTTTTACATCCTATGAAGGTGAAAAGATAGCTAATGGGACAAGCACGTAGGACGGTCTTGCGTAAACGTATATCACCAGAATAATTGACGATTAGGAGGACCACTTATTTGGATCCACCCGAAAATAAAAGATCGTCCCCTATACCTATAAAGGAACCTATGATTAATGATTATAAATTATTTTAAAGCTTTTTCAGTTTTGATGCAGCTAGAAGAAACGTGGATCTTTAATCCCACTTCCTCATTTCTTCCATTTTTAAACCTTCCTTTTGTACAGGAACAGATTGGATTAACGATTTAAAGTTTTTTTTTTTTTTTTTAGCACTGCAGGTTGTAAAGTAAGGGAATAAACTTTAAAACATTTGATGTCTTACAGGCAGCTTCTTAGATCTCTGCTAGTTCACCTGAACTGCTTCCATTTTAGGGATTGTTTTGCAGCGACACAGTCACTGGGCTCAGAACTCGCTTTAGAAGACAGTGGGGTGGTTTTATTTAATTTTGTTTTTTATACATTTGAGTGGAAAACAAAGATCAACTTCATATTTTCCTTTCACATTGCCCAAATAGGTTTTTCTAGAGATGATGAAACTTTTGACATTTACTTGGATATAGTCTTCCTCTGTCCACTATTTGTAGATTGATCTGATGATGTTTGCTCCTTTTTCATTCATATCAGAAGCATTTGGGAATATAGTTTTTATGCAACAGAGGACCCCCAGGTGTGATGACTTTTCAGATGCCTTTTGGGGACATTTACCAGGGAAGCAGGACTTGAAACGCACTTCAACACTTCAGTAATCCCTGTAATCTCCTCTTGGAGACCATCCAGAGTTTTATTGCGTTCTGCAGCAGCTATGCCACCAAGATAATCAGTTCTTTACAGATGAACAAGATAACCTAATAGGCATTTAGTTTTAATATAGTAGCAAAACGGCTGAAAGGTTAAAGAGGGATGAGACTGAATGAATCGGCTAAGGTACATTTTAATTTACTTAGTTATTCAAAACATGTTCCTATCAAAGAGCTTAGTCTGAGTAAGCCTAAAGTTTCCTGCTGATCTGTTCATCCACATCTGTGTCAGTTATGTCATCACTGGTGCTTATTTCTTTACTAAATTATATTTCTCTCCTGAATTCTAATTGGCTTAAGTATGGAGGTGTTTAAGTTTGTCAAAAGACGAGGAATAACAGAGATGCCTTTTAAATCAGTGAAGCCTAGATTTGTTTTTCACACATAAAGCGGGTTTAGACATCAGAAAATCAATAGAGATGGAAAAAAAAAATGGTTGGGATGAATAATAGAAAAGGCATCAATAACATTTCCCAGCAGCTCCCATCCTTACATTTGGTCTAAAAAGGACACATGATCCCCTTCTTCTGTTCTCCCTCCAGCTTTTCTTTTCCTGTCCGCTGCCAAAATAAATGTCGCCTTAAAACTTAGATCTTGGGGAACAAACTTCTTTCTCAACTTGTAGGAATTTTTGATTCATACTTTGTTTACTTTTACTAACTTCTGGCTTTTAAAAAAGTACATTCCCCATGGGGCAGCCAGCATTTTGCAATGTTTTGTCTTTGGAAATCTGAACATGCATTGTGGAAGCACGCAGGTGCCTCAAAAGATAACCCATCACTCCTGAGCGTGACTTTTGCTCTGGCTAAAAGAACTTCGAAGCACACATACAATCTGCATTGAAACTAACTGTTATCAAGTGTAAATATCTAATTCAATTGACTGGAGTTGTGTGCTTGTAGCTCAGACGGCTAACATAACAGTTTGCCTGGCGTGTCACGTTTCAGCATTCAGTTCTGACCTGCTTCGTTTCACCTTCCTGTAGAATTTGACTAACTGTGGTGAATTGTTCCTGCTCTGCGGAGAGCGCTGTCTGTGTTCTCTAAAGGACCTTATCTCATAGCTTTAAGCTGAGGATTAACAGGGATATGACCCTCAGCGTCCTATCACAGCAAAACCGACTGGTTAGTCCACTATTGCCGCCACTGTTTAAGAGATACAAACCAGCAAAAATATTCTTCATTAACAAAATCTTTCTGATGAATACATTTCAGGCAGGTTCCGTGTTGACAAACGTAATTCCAGCAGTTTGAATTGCTGTCCCTCTGTTAGGTCATTGAATCCATTTCTGATCTATTATGGCCACAGATAGCTTTTCACTTGTGCAGCTGCAAGCAAACCTAGAATCACTGAGGCCTTTGCAATTAGAGCAGTCACCCAGAAAGACAAGCCAGAGCGTGTCCTCTGGCATTCTCTCCATGCGCACAGTGGAAATTTACAACTACTCTGTGGATTTATTAATTACCTAAGCAGAAGGAACTTTTACCTCACAATTCTAGCCAGCAATGGGGGCATGAATGGTGGAAGAATACTACATTAATAAAGGCTAATACATATGAGGTATGTTTGAATTGAAAGAATAAAAGGCTGCAATGGCATTTACTGCGGGGGGCAAGAGTGTTGCTATGGGAGAGGAGAGCGAGTCGTTCTGCATCCAGTCCTGCAGCTGAAATGAAGCCTTGCAGCTGAGTCTGTGGAAGTGTTTTATAGCCCTCCACCCCCCTCAGTCTGTTGTGATTCAGATCCACACGGTGGGGGTAGGGGTTGCGTAACTGTCTACTTGCTGCGGAGTGAAGAAGGAAAGGATGTATGACTGCTGTCACCAAGTGATGTCGTTTCAATTAGAAAATGACACTGGTGGGGAGGTACCATTTCCTTTTGTGCAGGAAGTAACTTGCCATGTTTGGGTTTATCAAATTCCCTCAGACATGCCGCATCACTGGATGGTGTCAAATTCAGTATTTTTATGTCATATTTATTATTTAAATCCAATCCTTCTGCTTCAGGGAGTCAGCCACATAACAGACAATTGAAAGGAATGAAAAGAGGCAAGAGCTGGGTGGTTAGACGGAGTTAAAACTCGCTTCCTGTTTTCTCTTTCAGCCACCATGACACACCAGTACCCCGCACTGACTACTGAGCAGAAGAAGGAGCTGCAGGACATCGCTCAGAGGATAGTGGCTCCAGGAAAAGGCATCCTAGCTGCTGATGAGTCCACCGGTACGTGTAATACATCCTAAAACCCCGACGATAAATGTTAACAATCCCAAACACCCATGTTTATAAGATAAATGCTAATGGACACACTTCACGTGTGAATTTCAGGCAGCATGGCAAAACGCCTGAACCCCATTGGGGTGGAGAACACAGAGGAGAACAGGCGCCGCTACCGCCAGCTGCTCTTCACCGCTGACCAGCGCATCGACAGCTGCATCGGAGGAGTCATCTTCTTCCATGAAACCCTGTACCAGAAAACCGACGACGGTGTTCCCTTTGCTAAGCTCATCAAAGACCGTGGCATCGTCGTTGGCATCAAGGTAAAAAAAATAAAAATAATAAGTTGATCAGATATGAGACTCACACTCCTTTAAATGTTCATCCTTCTTTAGTTTGGTTTTAAAACAAGCCTATTACTGGGAGCTATGGAAAGAGGTTATGTTGGTGTGCTTACATACAAACAGTATAGGTGGTGAGGATAAACTGCCCTAAAGAGCTCGGTCTGCTCAGGAAAGGCAGAAATTAAGTAATGTTTACTTTTTTAGGTTGACAAAGGTGTTGTGCCCCTCGCTGGAACAAATGGAGAGACCACCACCCAGGGTACGTCAAATAACAAAAAAAAAAACAAAACAAAAAAAAGCAAATATAGTCAAAGTGTGAGTCTAAAGCTAGACTGTTTGTTGGAGAGCAGGTTTGGATGGGCTCAGTGAGCGCTGTGCTCAGTACAAGAAGGATGGTGCCGACTTTGCCAAATGGCGAAGTGTGCTGAAGATCAGCGAGACGACACCATCTGAGCTGGCCATCAAGGAGAACGCCAATGTACTGGCCCGGTATGCCAGCATCTGCCAGCAGGTCAGTACAAAATCAGATGTACCTTAAGCCGTTGCACCTTGATGACACAAAGTGTTAGCTTTTTAACTCTTTCAAGGTTTTTCACCATGGCAGCAACAAAGAAAAAATGTAGGATAGACCAACTGAAAGAAGTGAAAAATTCCTCCAAAGAAAATTTGAAACTTACCCTTTATAAAAGAAAACCGTAAATTGCATAATCTGACCTTTGAGACGTGTTAAGAACTTCTTTGTTTATACAATCCTATAGGGGTGGGTAAAATAATTGAAGTATCGATGCATCGCAATTATTACATGCAAAATTCATAATCTATGTTGGCGTCCCTCAGAATCTATTAACCTCCTTACCGTTGGGGACGTGGTCGGTTTGGTTACTGTTCTCAGCTAGTGCAGAGGCCAAATTAGTACACAAAACAGTCATGGCGAGCTCCAGCAGAAGACCAACTTTTAAGTCAGACGTTTGGGCTCATTTTTTCCCCCCCGTTGAAATACGGAACTCGACAAAAGCAAGGTAGTTTGAAAGAGTCGTGCTGACGTGCGATGGCTGGACTTCGAGAGCAACTGACCCCTACATAAAAATCACTTTTAATTTCATATCAAATGAGTGGGAATTAGTTTCAAATGTGCTTCAGACCAGGCTGCTTCACCGAAGTCACACAGGAAGCAACATGGCGAACATGTTGATGGAGGCAATAAACGAATGGGGCATAACCGGAAAAGTAGCCGCTGTTGTTACAGATAATGCTGCCAACATGCTAGTTGCTGTCGATATCACTGAACTATTACATGTTGGCTGCTTTGCCCATGTGCTCAACTTGGCATCCTAGGCTGCTCTTAAAACTTCAGCTGTCACACGGCTTCAAAAATCAGCATTGAATCGAATTGAATCGTGAAGTTCCTAACAATACACAGCCCTACAATCCTATAGCCGTCTTTGAATTTACGCATGAAAATTGGACTGTGTGTAGGCCTGTTCGTGTTCATGGAGCATTTGCAACATCAGCAGATTGCTGAGGTTCGCTTATCAAATTTAGACAACACTCATTGAATAAAAGTCCCTTTTTGGTGGAATAGAGATCAGAGTGTTGATTGTAAGGCAGTGTAATGTAGGCAATTAAAATTGCACATGAATAAGTTTGTTTACGAAATATCCCTTTAGTAAATTCAGCTTAAGAGAATTACAATTTGATGGTCCAGATAAGCACAGCTGTTTACTATAGCCTAATATTAAGTAATTTCCCTCTGGGATTATTAAAGTATTTCTGATTCTGAATATGTTTAACCACCAAAGCATGAATTGAAATTGAAAAGCGTTACGGTTAAAATATCTTCACCTTTTAAATCCGTTCAGAGTGATCCTTCAGAATATTACTGTTGTATTAACTGTCAGTTTAAAGTCTGTAAGGCTAGTAGCACATTGTCTAGAATCCCTGCTGCTGTTTGACACTCATGTTTTACCTTTCAGAACGGCATTGTCCCAATCGTGGAGCCTGAGATCCTCCCTGACGGCGACCATGACCTGAAGCGTTGCCAGTATGTCACAGAGAAGGTAGAGAATCAGAGATTGTCTCAAACTGCACTCCAAACACGTAGGCACACTTCTAACCTAAGAGCGTCTTTCTGCCTCCTGCTTTTAGGTCCTTGCTGCAGTATACAAGGCTCTGTCCGACCACCATGTGTACCTGGAGGGAACGCTGCTGAAACCCAACATGGTCACACCTGGACACTCCTGTCCCACCAAGTTCTCTAGCGAGGAAATCGCCATGGCTACCGTCACTGCCCTGCGCCGCACTGTACCACCAGCTGTTACAGGTCAGACAGTTGTAGAAATAAGAGGATTTATTTTTGCAGCTGTACAGGCTAGAGAGGTAATGGTATTGAGTTGGGAATCAATTTGTTTAAACTGTTTCTTTTCCTCGCAGGAGTCACATTCCTGTCAGGGGGTCAGTCTGAGGAGGAGGCTAGTGTGAACCTCAACTCCATTAACACCTGTCCACTCACCAAGCCCTGGGCCCTGACTTTCTCTTACGGCCGCGCCCTGCAGGCCTCAGCCCTGAGCGCATGGAAAGGAGAACTGAGCAACGAGAAGGCTGCCACCGAGGAGTTCATCAAGCGCGCCCAGGTCGGTCAAAACAAGACGGATCAGAAACAAATTTTCATGTGAAATCCTCTTGCGTTTATGTTAAGTCTTTGTTTTCTTTTCCATCTCCTCCAGGCTAACGGACAGGCTGCTCTTGGAAAATACGAGTCCTCTGGAAGCGCCAGCGCTGCTTCTAAATCCCTCTATGTGGCTAACCATGCCTATTAAACACCCAACTAGCTGTGGCCTAGTTCTAGTCTTAATATCTGCTCTGCTATTCCCCCTCACTCCTCCATCATTCACAGGCCTGCGCTCTCTACTGTACTTTGTTAATAGAGTTAACATTACATTATTAGATGTCTATTTAAAATCTATGTAAGAATGCAATACTATAGGGAACAGGCTTTGTTTTGTTTTTTTTTCCTTTTTAATTATTCTATTTCAAAAATCCAGTCAGATTTGAGACATTTGGTGACTAAAGTGTTGAATTTCACGTCTAGCTGCGGTTAGACTCTGAGATTAATGCAGAATGTATCCAGAGAGTCTGTCAGTATTCTTTTCATGCCTCTTCATAAGTGCTCCTCTCCCCATGTCCGATTCTTTCTCCCCTGACATCATAACTCCTCAGCCGTTCAGATCAGCACGTGTGCGTTGGTGTTTCGCTTCTGTCAGAAAAACAGCATTCGCCCTTCGTTCAAATACTGTACTAACTTTCACACTAACTGAGGGACCAACCAAACCGTCGGCATCAGTACATCTGTTTGAGGGCAAAACGAAAAGCTGAGCAGTGTCGAAATATGGAACAAAGTTGATCTGGTGTAGTTCACCTGTGGCTCCAGCAGAGGTCACTAGACACTGAGTACTGTAACAAGCAGCTGCACACCGGTAACCGCTTCTTTTTGTTTTCATGTTCCTTATTACAGTTTTAAACAAAAAACCATCACTGTGTGTCTTCTAAGTATAACATTAGCTTTGAATTACACTCAGTAAATATCGTATTTAGTTGTGTGAAGGTGTCGATATTATGCGATTTGTGCGTGTCCATTCCCGCTGTCCCTCCTGTTTTCCCTCCTGCCTGCCCCCACGGGAAGATCAGATGAATTTCTAAGGATGCAGATGTAATGTGGACCAACACATGGGGTCAGCAGCGCAGAAACAGTCACTGCTTTATTGGATTAATGTGGTGTTTGTGATGTAATTGTTCTTGAAACAATTAGTGTGTCAAATAGTGGAGAAATAAACTAAAATAGTCGTTAAAACATATATGTGTCTTTCTTGTGTAATATTGGAAATGTAAAGTTTGCTTTAACATTTTCCTTTTTTTTTTTTTTTTCACTTGACTTTCTGGGGGAATATTGATGCCCTTTTCTGCAGGTCTCTTCATAAGGAGTGGCCTCTCAGAAATCATAAAAAGGCATTTTTGGATGGGGAAAAAATACTAAAATTTTGTAAATCCCCTTTCCTGTGGTTCATTGAGCCATATTTGATTATTTAATCATACTTAACGGCTAAAAAGTGGATGTTGCCGTATAGCGACACCAACATTAGGATAATCCTTGTATTGCTACCCCAGCATGTTGATGGCATGCACTAAAGTTTTAAGGTCTACTATAATGCATTTTTGCAAGTCCTTTTCATACTGCATATGACTATATTTGACAGTCTTTTTCTTCCATTTACAAAATAAATGCAACCATTTTTTACAGATTATGTAAGACAACCAAACAAGAACTTCCTGTAGTTGATAACTGGGATAAATTGGGATTTAGCAAAGAAGAAAATGAGCAGCTTAGAACCCAGCAAGTAGGGTCAGGATGATGAAAAATAGGAAACATTAAAATGAAAAAAGTGGAGAGTAAGGGATGGAGGGTTGTTACAGGTAGCTGAAGGTGAAAGTGCAACCATTATTTGTAAGGGGGACTGCAGTATCCCACCGTTCCTGTGCAAAAGACAGTATAGGTATTGTTAGAGTGCATTGCATGGGTTGTGAGACTAACCTGTGTCTCACATCTGAGAGGAACTACTTTATCAGTTTGAATATGCGGTAAGGTATAGACAGCAGCATCAAGACACTGGGATCCATTGCACAACGGTGGAAATTATGTTTCAACTGTTTTTAACTTTTATACAAGTTCAATTGTTCACTGTTATTGCTACTGGGGACTGTTTAGAATATAACCTGGGTTATTAAAGATGTTTACAATAAACTATGGCTAAATGTCAAAAATATATTTTCTTTTAATAGTGACCCTTTATTATAGTTACTTGGTCTATTTTATGTAAAAAAAAAAATAAAATAAAAAATGTGTTCCTAAAGGGTTAAGCGGAGGTGGGCACATTTACTTGAACTTTTAGAAAAAGAACCCTTTATTTTTACTAAGCGTTACTTTTTAACACTTAGTTGAGGGAAAGCTTGAATTTCCTAAATTTGCTTGAGAAAAAAAAAAGTCAAAGTAGTTTTTCTCTTCCTCGATGAAAATGTTTGGGTATTCTACCCACTTCTGCATATTGCCAGCAGTTTGTGTTTGAATTGTAGCTTAAGCCTCCCCTTGCCAGTTTTAAAGATTCACCTCAGAAATACCCCACGTGGTCTTCAGACGTTTCCTTAATACATTTATATTACTTAGGCTAAATTAGGAAATAATATTAGGAAATATATTTACTGGTTAACTAACACGGTAATTATTGTAGCCTGTGAAGATTTAGCATTCAACCGGTAGGTGGTGCTGTGGTACATGTTCCGTATTGCATGTCTATGTGTGCTTAATATTGCCACCGTCATTCCCGGTGGTTAACTATCATCCTTGCTTGGCTCTCATCTTTCCGAGTTCTTTCAATTTTTCCTCACCAAAATTCGTTTAACTCTTACAAGTGCAGCCCCAAATACTAACATAGTCAGCAAGTATGTTTCAAGATAAAGCCTTGAATTTGATTCAAACCTCGGTCATGTGACATGGAACTGAAAGGTTTGGTGTAATCAAACGCACCCAGGTCAGTGACAGAAATGGCCACCGCGGAAGTAGGTGAGTTGATTCATTTGCAGATTCCGTGAACATGTTTTTACTTTATTTTTCGTAGGCATTAGATTCTCATATTATCAAATAATTTAGAAGATACGCCTTTTGCACCATGTTTAGAAAAATACACTCTATACAGTTGTTTTTCTATTAATAGGAAGCTGTAAGCTAACAGCTAGCCTTCTCCAGCTACATCAAGATGTTGCCTGAAACACTTGCAGGTGTCCTTTGCTTTTGCTGTTCATTGATGGCATGACCATGTCATTTTACATTTTTATTATTTGTTGCGGTGTCTGTTATTTTTCTCTATTGATTTTTATCAAAGTATTTAGACTTCTTCGTCATAATCTAGACAGTGAGATGGTTTGTGGATAGAACACCAGATAGTAATCCTTAGACCTTTGGGACTTATTCCAGAACAAAAGTGATGGCATCCATCCATCCATCCTTCCTTCCATTCTTCCTTCCATCTATCCATCTTTCCTTCCATCCATCCTTCCATCCATCCATCCATCCATCCATCCATCCATCCATCCATCCATCCATCCATCCATCTTTCCTTCCATCCATCCATCCTTCCTTCCATCTATCCATCCTTCCTTCCTTCCTTCCATCCATCCATCCATCCATCCATCCATCCATCCATCCATCCATCCTTCCATCCATCCATCCATCCATCCATCCATCCATCCATCCATCCATCCATCTATCCATCCATCCATCCATCCGTCCATCCATCCACCCATCCGTCCGTCCGTCCGTCCCTGCATAGCCTTTTTTAAAAGTACCTCTAAAAATTTAGGTGCTCATTTCAAATAGCACATAATGTAATATAACATAATATTGACAACATCTACAAACAAACAGTGAAACATAAAAACATTAAAAAATTTTACAGTTCTGTTTTTGACATAACCAGAGTTTGGTTTGATTTTTGAACATATTAAAACTGGTTACAGACAACAGGAAATGAGTTCCAAACTGCAGATCCTCTCATGGACAGAGCACTTTGCGCAAAAGTAGTTCTTCGAAACGGGACCTTACAATTTAATCAGAAGCCACTCTAGTGAATTTGCTATTGCCCTGCAATCTCTGTCTGCAATTTCCTAATGGTGTAGGTGCATACTCATTTAAGCACTTAAATTTAAAAAGGTTGTAATTTATAAAATTATGAACGTCCAAAATGCCAAATTTAGTCAAAATGTGAAAGTCGTGGAATCTGATTGTCTTTTCATATAAAACCTTTAAAACCTGATTATAAAGACTATTGGTTTGAGTATAGTTTGGCTAGTCTGAGACCAGACCGTAGCTCCTTAGGAAAAAAAGTTAGGGGATCATGGAGTTCAGAAACATCTCAGAAGAGGGAACTGTTAAACATTTCTAATTATTTAATAACCGTTTTTAGTAGATCTAATAGTTTTGCTGATTTTATCAACATGGCTCCTAAAATTTAACTGAGTGTCTAGTAACAGCTCCTTTACATTGAACTGTTATTTCTTTTTTGCTAATTTACACTTAATTTGTTAACAGATAATAAAAAGTTCTATTAATGTGTAACCTTTTTTTTAAACAATGTTTATGTCAAGCCTGTACCCTTATGGCGGGTTATACGGTTCATTCATTCAATGATCGGTTATCGGCCGAATCACTCACTCCAGGTATCATTATCAGATTGGATCGGAACAAAAACTGGATTGGTGCATCTTTATGTTTCTATAAGTAGTATTTTTTATGCTATTTATTCATTCACTCAGTTTTCTCTTTGTTTTATTGTTTTTTTAAGTTACCCAAGTCTGATGTATTAAATGTTTATAACAATGTACATGATCAATTGATCAACCGTTTTCTCAGGGGTTGTTACTAAAAAAACAGAATAATTAAGCAATAGAAGCATAACTAGACCAGGCATGGCGTGAGACCGCTGGACAACAAATGAGTGAAATTAAAATAAAGTCAGCTAAAAATGTAAAGATTGAATTACCCTTCCTGTCATTCACAAATACCTTTTTAAATCCCCTTAAGGACAAAAGCTGGACAAAACTGTTCAACCCATTAAGAAAAAGCCTCTAAAGTTCATGCAGCAACTGGAGGAAATGTAATCTTCTTCACAAGTTTAAGCTTCACTTTTCTTGTTTTTAAATAGACTTAGACTTCTCAACTTTATTTATCCCTTGGGATTACTCCTTCAGGGAAATTCTAATCTTAGAGGTTTATATAGATAAAAAGAGTTAACGCAAGATGCCATTAAAGATAAAAAATACAGCAGACAATATATAAAGAGTGTATATAGTACAAAAAAGAATAAAAAAAGAAAAAAGTTGTAATGTCCTGGAATATGTTTCCCTTAGATATAAAAAATATCTGCACAGTAGAGAGCTAAGGGAAGACTACACAGTATTAAATGTTCTTTCTTTTCAGAGATTTCTAAAGATTAACAAAAAAGTGCAATGTCTAATGCCAATGACGAGTATTGAAAATGTGACTCCCCATTCTTGTGTTTCTGTCAGAGCGCAGACGAGGTCAGCTTGCTGCTCTGTCCATAGCAGCAGTGGTCATCATGGTGGGAGTCCCTCTGTGGTGGAAAACCACTGAAACCTACCGTGCCTGGTTACCTGTCAGTCAGATCAGAGAGTTGGAAAAGCTGCAGGTTTGTCTCTGGCTTCATCAGTACCTTGTGTGCTAATTCATCCATCTTTCACATTCTTACTCTGTTTCTATCTCTCAGCTCCAGCTGAGTGCAGATGTGGAAGTCGTGTTTGCTCGTGGGACCATGATACCAGAGCAGCAGAAGAAGGTGCCTCTGACTCAGACCCATGAGGAGGATCATGCAGTAGATGGTGACATTTCTTAAACTTTATTTAGTTTAATAACCTTTAGTATCACACCTGAAAGTTTCACACTCTTGTCTTAAATTTTTCTGGTTCTAGAGGATACGGCTTTAAAGTACAGATATGAGACAAAATATCGTACGGCTACGATCATGGAGGAGGACGCCCTGAACAAGCCCACTGCAGCCCGTCAGTTTTCCCTTCTATTTATTCAATATTATGTTAACGTTTGACTTTTTCACTCAACAGAACAGAACAGGTGGTCTCATTAAGCTTCTTTTTTCGTTTATAGAGGCAGATCTTTCTCTGCACATGCTCAGTGAGAGTCCATGTGGTTCTTTGGTCATATATGTCATCCCAGAGTCTTCTCCGCTGCTGCCTGAGGTGAAAACTGCTCACACTAAAACATTTACTTCTTGTTTATTCAAGTACTGTCTGGTTTGGTTACCATTTAAACTTGGAACGATAAACAAAACATTCTGTTGTAAATTATACTTTAAATTTTGACTGTTTTGATTTTATTAAAATCATTTGACACAATAGATCATTGGTTCATTGATCCCTATCTTTCAGAGGGGAGCTGATTGAATAAGTTAATGATACTCTTATTTATATTCCATTGTACACAAAGGTTGTGTGTTAAACCGTAAACTTAAAAAAATGGCATAAATAACAAGGGTATAGCAATTTAACAGGCAGTAAACAGTATTCAGAAGAAAACATTTAATTTAAAAGAAATGTGTGTTTAAAAAAGGAAAGGTCAAGACAAATATGATAAAGGCACATTTTAAAAGAAGACGATTCTGTAAAATGTAACCAAAGCTGGTTTTAATCATGTATAAAAGATACTTAGTTTTTGTCCTTTCAGTGATTTTAGAAGTAAAATAAAATAGGAAAGGTTGTGTTATGCTGCAGGTTCTGCCAACACTTGATCAATGTATTATGTGTTTGTTATTAAACCTCATATATGATTATTTATATCTCCTCTACAGTTGTTTATACTGAACAAATAATTATATCAATAATTAAACTTCCAGGATGTCAATGTGTACATTGGTCAGCGACGGACCGCGCTGCTTCGTGTTGGTGCCCAGACAAGAACAGCTAAGACGATTGAGCAGCTGCTGGATCACCTGCAGCCACAGATCAAAGAGGTACTGAGAGTGATGTCTTTCAGCCGCGCTGACATCACTGCTGCACTCAGCGACAGAGTCCGTTTCCATCCAGGGAGCAAAGAGAGCATAGCTGACAACATGAGAGCCTTCAAATCCAGTCCAGGTTTGTTTATCAAGTCAAAAAAAAACTCGATGTAATTTCACCTACAGCCTGTGTGTGAGTCGTTTCATCATCTGTTGACTTATTCTTCCTTTTAAGGTTATGAGATAACGTTCAGCTTGTTGAACCCTGACCCAAAGTCTCACCGGCTGCACTGGGACATTGAAGGTGCTGCTGAGACCTACATACAGCCTTTACTTACCAAAATGTCTGCAGTGGCCAACTTTAGCATAGATTCTCAGGTATGTCAAAAGTTTTCACATCCCTTGAACATTTTCACCTGGCAAGCAAAACCCTCCAACTGCTTTATGGCGATAGCCTGATAAACCAGACTAAATGTAAGATTAAAGGTGTAATTTATTCTGGCTCCGATGAATGAGACATCGGAAGATTGTAGATGAGAACAACCTGTTGTCTTTCACACCGCTGTCTGTGCCTATTGGCCAACGCTCTGATGAATGAGCGCAACTGAATGTAAACAAACAGCCTGTCTGTAAAACAGCGAATATCAAAAATATCAATAAAACCACAGTAATCTTGCCATCTCCTAAGAGCTTTAGGAGATGGTCAGAGTTTCAAAGACTGAGAACTCAGATTCTAAGTTCTTATGTATCCGTAGTGTTTGATTCCTGACTAACGAACAGCCTGCTGGGCTCAACGTATTCATCCCGGGATTCACCAGGATTTTAACGGGTTCATTTCGATTGATTATTTTGAAACATATTAGCTTGTTTAAAAAAATGACAGAATTGATTGCATTTTCTTAAGTGCCAGGTGGGAACCTTTGCACTCTCTCTTTGTACACCCAAAAATTTGACGCACAAGCGGTATCACATGTGTTGATCCACTATGAATATTCAAGCTGGCTCACATTAAATACCTCAAATCGGTACATTGGACATGTAAGCTACGGCTGAAGCGCTTCCACAGTCGCCATAATCAATGCTCCCTGCATAGTGCTGCTGTTTAGGAAGGAGCTTGGAGCATGACTTATTTGTGTTAACTCGTTTAACGAGAAAAGTAGTCTCAGTGGTAATTGTTTTCATAGCACAAAATGCTCCAAATTGAATAGCAGTTGTTAAGCTCCTAAAGGAAATGCTTTATGCAGAGTTGAACCGCATTGTTCTGTCAGTAAAATAAAACCTTATTTTCTATTTTTTGCTTATTCAGTGAAAGGAATTGGGCTATAATTAATGTTTATGGCCTGTTCACACTTTTGTATAACTAGTTTTTCAAAGGAATTGCATAAAAAAAATCTAAATATAACTTTCAACTAATCCAATGGTTGAGTAATCTGAATAGTTACCGTAGATTTAAAACAATAAATGATTTGTTGTGCCCACATAACAAGGTTTTCATAAATAAAGAGAAGGGTTTTTTTTTTTAATGAAAATGTTATTCATTTTGTCAATATATGGTTTTCGATTAAAAGGTGTTTAATTGTAACTCACTAATCACAGGCCCTGTAATTAATAATGAAACCTCTAGTTTTTCCTAGTTCTCATCTCTAGAAAGTGGTGGAGAATCGAGTGTAAGGCAGCTGACATAGAGCAGTGCAGATCTGTTTCTAGGCAACTGTGACAGCATCACACAGGGTGCTGAGGTGGTCTCGCTTAGATCTGTGCACCACGACAATTTTGATGGCATTAGGATTTCCTGTGTTTTATTTTGTTCCTTCTTGTTAGCTTAAGTGTTAATGTGAGTTTACAGACGCATGTATCAAACTTTTACGATAATATGAGCTATTTTGTGTGAAAACATTTTAATCCCTGATCTAGATTTAAATTGAGATTCTCTGGATTTAAAAGCTAAATACGTTCTCAGTCGATCTCAATCTGGTTTGACTTTAAAAAATTAAAGGTATAGACAAACTCCACAGGATCTGCAGCTTGCAATGAGGAGTGGATCTAAAAAGTATTGATCTGAAAATGGCATGTTTTTATTCGTAATAAAGTTGAAAGCTTAGCAATGCTTCATGTTGGGCTGTCACATGAAACTCCCATGAAATACAGTGGAGTTTGTGTTTTAAATCATTATGAAACTGTAAAGTTGAGGTAACCCATGTGATATAAATGCCTCTAAATTCAATTAATCTTACAGACCTTGCACTACGCCATGCTTGGTGTCAACCCGCGCTATGACAGCAGCCGCAGCGCCTACACACTCAACGCTGACAGCCTGGCACATGTCATCAACCCAGTGGAGGCCAGACTCGGTAAAACTGTATTATTTTATTAGTAGTGTTATTATTAGTTGCAAATGATAAAAACAAATTAAATATATTTGTATTGTTTTTAAGGACGGGACTATTTATTTGTGTATTATTTTCAGGCTCCAATGCGGCGTCTTCAAACCCAGTGTTGAACTTTCTTCTGTATGTCCCTGATGCTCATCATTCACCTCTTTACATCCAAGATCACCACAAGCAGGAGGTGCCCTCCAACGCATTTCACTCTCCGCGCTGGGGTGGAATCATGGTAAGATTAAAGTGGGATGCCTAAAGTGTGAAGTGGATCAAAACTTTTAGAAGTTTCTGAGTTTGTTTTTTTTTTTTTTACACTGATTTCATAAAAGTGAAGAAAAAGCTGTATTTATGTTTTAAAGTGTGATTAAACATGTCATTCTGTACTACTGGTTTTCCTTGTTTACACAACCAACATTTAAGCATTGTCTTTTTAATAAGCACCATTTCTATTAATCCAACTGAGTTGGAGGGTTTTTTAGCTTTTTTTAAGATCAAATCTCAGCATCTCAATTCCACCAAATTTGAAACTCTAAATATATATTGATTATTTTACCATTCAGAGGTGGATTTGCTTTTGTGCTCTGTATTATCGTCCTGCTACATGGCTGAGTTTGCTTGAGCTTAAAGTCAACCTAATAGGTTGATATTCTCTTGAAATATAAGTGCAGTTAAAAGGCTTTCTGCACATCACCAATGAGCTTTAAATGTGCTTAAAATTTTCGGAATGAAAGTGTTTACCTGTGCTTTTAGGTTTATAATGTAGACGGTTACTATGGCCCAGAAGCAGAGTTTCCGGTCGATATAAACATCAACATGGCTAAAGTCATGGGCGTCTTCCTCGCCCAGCTTCGGTAAGTGTTAAAATACATTCATTTTGACAATTTATTTTATTTACTCCTCTGTGAAGAAAGTATTTTCCCCCTTTAGAGATTTCTTCCGTTTTTTCCCCGTTTTTTTTGCAGCACTTGTTTTAGATAATTCCCTAATTATAATGCATGATGCAATAACATGAATAAACATGAAAAGCATTATTTGGATGATGATTTATCCATTATGATGCAAATCTATCTATACCAACCTGGCCATACGTAACAAAGCAATTACCCCTAAAGCGCTTAGAATGACTTTAATGACCTTTAGCATAATTGTCCTAATTCAGTCACTTTGGTTGATTTCAAGTTATGAACAGCATGTTTATGATCATCCTTTATTATCTAAGATGAGTGTTTAATCCAGATCTTGTCAGGGCTTAATTTTGTTCTATAGTCAGCCTTGCTCCTACTCCTGAAACACTGTCCTCCTCGGTACTAATGACTTGACATTATCTTGCTAGATTTTGAGGTAAAGAGATAAATATCAGCGTTTAGTTTTGTTTTTTTTCTTGTATCGTTGGCCAATACGTGTATCCAGCAGGCATGCATTGAGATCATGTGAAGCACATGCATCACTGATCTTTCAGTTTCCTTCAGGCTTACAGCAGCTGGTATCACCAGGCGGTCTCCAATGCAGGTAGTAACTAGGCTCAACCCTGCTTAGCTTTCGAGATCAGACAAGATCAGGCCAGACAGTAAGCCCAGTTTGCTATCCATTGCTAATATTTTGTTTGATTTGTTAATAAATGCTTCATTATTTAAATTGAGAATTGTGAACTACTGGGTGCCTTGATGTCCTCACCACAGTTTTCAGGCATCCCAACGCTTTGTGGCCCTCTAAAGACTGATGGACTTCTGGAATTTTGATTTTTTTTATTGTCTTGATGTTTGTTTACTTTTGCCGATGGGTTGCTTTTTAACGTCTCTCAGCTGTCAGAGTAGTCTGTTTAAACCTTAATATCTGCAGGTCAGGTAACATAAGGCAGATAATGGTTTGTTCTGTGAGACTCAGTCCAGATTTTTTTTGTTTTTTTTTTGTTTTAAGTGTACTTTATTCCAATTTCTTCCATATTCAATGTAGTACATAAGGGTCAGGATGGTATGGATAGTTTTTTTCCCCCTCTCAATGAATTAAATCATCACTGATCTTCTGAACAGAAGAATTGTTTGAATGGGGACAGCAAGTCTCCACAACACTGTTGAAAAGAGGTAACTTTTCAGAGCTGTTGTTTCCATCAGACTGTTGCTGGGTGTGCAGTCATCAGCCGCTCCCCCCGGCTTCCTGGTGGCACCGTGCGGCACCGCAGGACTAGCTGACTGGGAGCTGGACCGCCTCATGTGGAGCCGCTCAGTGGAAAATATAGCAACAGCGACCACAACAATCACCTCTCTTGCACAACTGCTCGACCAGATAGGCAACATCGTCATCAATGACAATATTGCTGAACAGGTAAAATATGCATGCATCAGATCATTAATATACACAGATTTATGAATCTGTGCAGAGTATTATCTGTTCTCTTTATTCTTTGTCAGCATCTAAAGGGTTTAGTCCAATCTTTGGCTGCAGCTAAAGCTTTACATTTCTGACCAAAAGAAATGGCTTTCTTCTAGACAGAAATCCATCACTTCTGTCTTCTATAAAATTTTTGTTTAAAGCAATGCATGCAGATAATGCTGCTTATATATTTTTTCTCACCTAGACCTACTAACAGACACTGGTTTTCTCCCTCTTCTCCAGTGTGGTCATTGCAAATAAAAGTTCAGATACATATTTCTGAAACTTTTCAGAAAACATCTACACCACCTACATTTTTTATTCTTCATGTCTTTTGTAACAGACTCGTGCATCATTATGGTTGCATGTAACCTGCTGGGGCAGCCATAATCTTCAATTGTTTGTTATGAAAACTGCTTTATGTCAGTGAATTATATGTGTATAAGGGCTGATGTCAAATATTAAGTCTTAAAGCCAATATTGGCCGATAGGGATAACATGCTAATAATAAAGCGCATCTTTATTTCCAGGTACAGGATTTCTGGGCAACTGGGTTCTCTGTCCTTTAATGGATTATGAGAGTATAGAGAGGAACTGACCCCCTTTAATCTGTCGTTAAATCTCAATAAAATATGTTGAGGTGTTGCATAAAAAAATTCTTAAAGGTTAAAAGGATTTGAATATTTTATCCAGGCACTACATATTACATAGCTTTCTCCTTTAATGTGTCTAACCTGTTATTCCTGTCACTGTGTTCCAGGTGTCCAGTGCGGTGACGTCTCTGCAGCTGGCTGTTGCAGAGCTGGAGGCTGGAAACCTGGGATTCGCCCTGCAATTCAGTAAGGAAGCCATCATGGCTTCAGAGAAAGCCTTCTTCGACCCCTCACTCCTCCATCTACTGTATTTCCCCGACGACCAGAAGTTTGCCATCTACATACCTCTCTTCCTGCCGATGTGTGTCCCTATTCTGCTGTCTCTGCTCAAAATGGCCTCTGAGGCTAGAAAGAAACGCAGAGAAAAGCAAGCCAAGAAGGATTGAGGGCCAGGAGATAATGTGTGTGGGGGAGAAACATTTTATCCGTTTTTGTTGGTGGCCTTGACATTTGGTTGCTTATTTGAGCATGAAGAAGGTCTTCTTTACAGTGTTGATGTTTTGGGATTTTTCTTGTTGGCCATAGGATGGGTCTTTGTTGCAAGTTTTTATGAAATGACTACTGGAACTGTTAAAAGCTTGAATTCTTGGAAATACATACAACTTTTATATATAAACTCTACTTTCTATTGTAAATTATTAAGAATAAAAGACCAAAGCTGTAAATCACGTTTTAGCTCTTATTTTCTGTTCCCTTTTACACAAAACTTTTTAAACTTCATTGTAGGAGAGTTTTTTTTTTAATAAAAACAAGTCTAATCAGAGGTTTTAAAAGGTTAAGTAAACATTGAGATGATAATTCAACTTTAACTTATAAGGAACTGAAAACACAACAATGCAGATTAGTGAGGAAAACATTTAGGGATTTAACCGGACATAGAGATTCAGAAGATTTTATTTATAAAGCCAATATTTTTGTATTGTTTCAACTGGATTTAAATGTTCAAAAATTAAATGCTGCGTTTTCATTATACATATGTGGTGTAATAAGGAAACAAATATTTATATAAATATTTATCAAACATTCTGCCGTCTTGGCGAGGGGGAAATCCATTAAAAAACTCTCATAACAACTCAAAATGATTTTAATAATGATTACACACCTGTGTTTTATTCTAAAGGGGATCGCTGTAATGAAAAACAAAGGCTTACCTATCATGTTGCCATCCACAGCCATGTTAAATTAAAGGAAAGCCAAAGAAAAAAAAAAAAAGAATTAAAACAACCAGGTATAGCAGAATTCGGAAAATAATTAATTTCTAAATAAAGGCAGAGCCAATGAACATGAAACGATAATAAAAGTTATCTTTTTAAACTGTATAATTATATTATTGAAATTATTTGGAATATAAATGAATAATGTTATTTTATAACATCCTTAAGAGCCGTAAAAAGATAAAAATGATTTTTGACGGCATTACTTTATAGCATCCAGATTTACAAAAAAAATAAAGTGCCAAGGTTTTTAGCCAACAAGTGTTTCTAGAGCGGTTGTACAGAAAGTAGAAGATTAATCCAAGTGATTTCTACATATTATTTTTGTATTTTGCAATTAGTTTGCTGGATATATTCAATTAGTTATCTTAAAGTGAACTTTACGACATTGCTGTAGAAGAGGTCCAGTTCGATAATCAATTAATATTCATAATAACTGCTCAAATACAAACTAACATTTTGTTATCAGGATGTTTTTATCATGCATTAATGCATTCTCACTTATTGTTTTCCTGTTTCTCTTTTTCCGTCTCTAATTAGTCCCGCAGACTTGAGCCGATTGTCCTGGAGGGTTATCCTATGACTTTTGCAAATTTCAGCTATCATAATTTGTAAAATATTTAAGCTTTTTATCACATTTTTTTGGTCCATATAAATAAATGGTATTCTGTCAAAATTCCACTAAAACCTCAGCTACTTTGCCCTTTTACTACTTGTGCACACTTTCTGCTAGAAATACCATTCAAATTTTAAAACGTTTCCGCACCCTTCGGCTGTTAATGTTTAACTCATCTTTTTGCTACCTTTTATAGTTTTGCTTCAGTGAAGCTTCAAACTTTTAAAGATTTTTTTAAAGGTTTTTGGTTTTATAATGGAAGTCAATGACGGAAACTTTGTGATCCTAGATTGTGCCACTCTAGCACATTTTACTTTTCGCAAACAACTTCTGCTTACTTGCTAAATGTTTAAACTACCTATACAAATTATACATCAAAACATAGTTATTTTTGTCAGGATTAAGGAAATGTAACCCTTTTTGGTGTGGTATTTACAGTTTTTCTACAGTTTAGCCTAGACCACCAACAAGTCCAAACTCCCTCAATAGAAATCCAATGGGGGAATTTTCAGAAATCACAGACGAAAATCGAAAATGACATATTTTCGTATCCCCACCTCTTCTCAACCATTTGATTTACAAACATGAAACTTGGTATAGGATATCTTCAGACCCTTTTGGCACTCTAATTGAAATATTTTTTTCTGTATTATTTATGATTAAGCTGTTTAGCTGACTTGTTCAGACACATGAAAATGTTAAATCTGAGAGAAATCCTCAGATTGAAATCTTTCAAAACAAACCACATTTTTACCTCGTCCCTGAACACATAGAAACATGAAAGTTGGCATACTTGTTCATCTTGATGATTCTTATGGTCTAAAAATTATTTCCGTATCTATTATGGTTTTTCATTTATTAAACATAGTTTAACACAAACTCTTATCCAGTTTTCAAATTTAGCCAAGTTCCCTCTGTGGGCCGGGTCTTTTCAAAAACATTTTGAACAGAAACAGCCCTAAAGCTTCATTTCTCAATATGCAATGAATTAAACGGTGCAAGAATCATACCGACATGACTTATTATGCCAAAGTTATTGGCATTTATTCGGCACAAGAGGCGAACCAGTGAATAAGCCATGGATAGGGAGGGAGACAGTGCCTGAAAAACCCTTTATTTTCCAATGGATGCCTCCCAAGCTGTTTAATGAACAAACATGAAACTTCTAGCACTCATATTAAAGGAATTTTGCCATGCAGCTGGGTTGGATCTATTATAGTATTATTCTTATGGTTTTTAAATTAAATTAAGTTTATTTATATAGCGCCAATTCACATCATTTGTCATCTCAAGGCACTTTACAGTTCACCAGATCATACAGTCAAATTGAGTTTTCTATCTACGGAAAAACCGGATTAAATCGACTCATTGACTCGAATGCAATCCCTCACACTAAGCATGCTTGTAGAGACAGTGGAGAGGAAAAACTCCCTTTCAACAGAAAGAAACCTCCAGCAGAACCAGGCTTAGTGTGAGCGGCCATCTGCCGAGGCCGACTGGGGTTCAAGGAGACAGAAGCAGAGATGCAAAAAGCAGCTGTAAAAGGAGGCCCCGTCCAGGAAACACACAACCAGGTAGAAGAGCTCTGAGACAGTTCCCATGTCAGTGGATAAAGAGAGCACATCCAGCCAGTCACAGTCAGAGAAACAGGACTACACTGGAAAACAGGCTGATCTCTTTTCTGTGCTCTCAGACTTGCACACACTAGCTCATAATTTTGCGGCATGTGTTGCATTTCTAAACTTAATTATAATCAGCAATGCTTCGGCCATATTTGCTTCTCTCTGATTCCTCTGTTTTCAGGAAGGCCATTGAGCTTTTCTTATTTCTAATTCCTAACACTTTACCAAAGTTTGTGTTTCCAAGTTTAGCTTATTTCTGTTTAACCTTCTGTCCATATTTTACATTACTTCAACTTCTCAACACACAAGCCTCTTAAGTAGCACTAAGCTGCTCATTCAAAACCACATTCTTCAACATATTAGTCTCTATCCTTAAACTAAACCTTTATTTTTTCAACCAGATAAGATTAAAGATTTTTTTGCTTATTTATTTTCTGATTCTTAATATGTTTTAGCCTATATTTCCCACATTGGCTTAAATCTGCTCTCTTTCTGGACAGGCATTAAGCTTTTCTGTTTGCTACACGACATGTTTCTGCTGTTGGCTTCAGCTTCTGCTATTTTTCAACAAAGAAACTAAGCATGTATCTTTTCTTCTATTTCATATCATTTCAGCAGTTTCAGCCATTTTCAGAATTCTCACAGCTGTTTCGCAAAACAGCAATTTTTCTAGTAACATTTTTATCCAAGGTGTGGATTCAGTTTATCTTATTTTAGCGGTGGCTGTGTATTTGTAGTTTAATTTGTAGTTTTAGCAGTAGGTCTCTCACGAATACTTAAAACGTCCTTTTTTTTCTGTTCTAGTGGGAATAAGGAAGTAACTTAAGGTGATTACGTAAAACAGCGTCACTACATGGCGCTAAGTTCGCCATTAAATTTAGAGCAGGCAGCTCCTCAGCCTTTAGCAGCCGTTGTAAAAACCGAAGGTTTCCGCAGCTGCTCTGCTCATTTCCAACCGACGTTTCCCGCCTCTGTTATGAGATAGCTCTGCCCTATTAGCCTTTTGTTTAGTAGCTCACTTAGCTCGCGGTAAGGTTAGCTCGTTTTGCGCTATCATGTCCGGGGGATTCGCTAGAGGACCGACGGGGAGCAACGACTGTCGGATATATGTGGGGAACCTTCCCCCAGACATACGCTCCAAAGACGTCGAAGACTTGTTTTATAAATATGGATCCGTCCGTGATATCGACCTGAAGAACCGCAGAGGAGGACCGCCGTTTGCCTTCGTTCAGTTCGAGGATCCGAGGTGAGCGGCGGCATTCATTCACGGCTAGCGTTAGCTCCATTGTTAGCTGGATGCTACACGCTAAGTTGTTTTAATGTTATATGTTATAGATGTCAACACAGACTATGTTACCTGTTAAATCCCTATTGATCACAATGTTTTTAACACTTTTAGCATTATTCGTAGTACTTTTTGTTAATTTGTTGCGAGCAAAGCGTCGGTTGCTTGCATGTGGCAGGGGTGAGGCCTACCTGCAGAACACGCACGCTTTGCTAGACTCCTTAATACAAGTTGTCATGGTGATAAATAATGGTCTTGGTTTGCACCCTGCAAAGCATCTGAATTTTTATATCAATAAGTATAATCGTCTTCGATTGCTGCTTTTCTCTGCCTACATGGTGCCATTATTTTTTTAAAGTCTGAGATCTCTTATCCAGCTTAATTGTGAAGGAAACAAATTACTGTGAATTTTTTGTTTTTAAACATTTAAACATCAGTTTTTACATATCCTCAAAGAGTCACTCAGATAAATTATTAAAAGTTACATTTTTGAAAGGTAAATGAAGTTGATTGCTATTTGTATGAGCAATTACAATTTGGAGATGATCACGTGTATCTCTACTTAAAATGGCTTAAAGTACAACATAAGATTATCAAATGGAGAACAATGAAAGGTGTCTTAAAGGGCAATTTTAAGGAAATAATTGAACACCATCACAATACGCTCCATATTACAATCCCCTGCTTTTAGAGCTTTAACATAGCCAGTCTTTCTCTAATCCCTATGCTTGCTCCCAGTTTCACTTTGTGTTTTTAATTTCACATGCAAAGGTGCAAAAATAGCTTAACCTATCACAGTAATGAAAGTCTGTGTTTAATATCTTTTCACCTGTTGCACCTTCTTGCAGTTCTTCATTGTTGGATATGTACATTGCTTTTCAGGGATGCTGAGGATGCGGTGTATGGGCGAGATGGTTATGATTACGATGGCTATCGGCTGCGTGTGGAATTTCCTAGAAGTGGAAGAGGGGGAGGAGGAGGTGGTGGTGGAGGAGGAGGTGGCGGCATGGGACCATCAAGGAATCGGTATGGTCCCCCATCCCGACGCTCAGAAAACAGAGTGGTTGTGTCAGGTGGGTAAAGCCTTTCTGATCTAAACTTTTATACTCCCTTTTTCCTTTATAAATTTTTTTCACAGTGCTTGTGTGTTCTAAAGTTCTCCAAAATGTATTCCTTTTCAATGTTAGGTCTTCCCCAAAGCGGGAGCTGGCAGGACCTGAAGGATCACATGCGAGAGGCAGGTGATGTATGTTACGCCGATGTCTTCCGTGATGGCACAGGTGTGGTGGAGTTTGTGCGCAAAGAAGACATGACGTACGCTGTGCGTAAATTGGATAACACCAAGTTTCGTTCTCATGAGGTACGTAATAAGTCTGAGGTAAATGAATTTGAGGAGGGGCTCTTGGACGACAGTTTGAAGTTTGTTCATTTAAATGAAACAGTAAGTAAAGACGAATGTGAAGTCCTAATTAAAATTTACATTGGGATAAATATTCTTTCTTATTTAATACAAGTTTACATAGTTTATCTATGAACATTTAGATGTTGCAGCAACAGTACGGAAACTAATTTACTTGTTTAGTGCCTGTTATTATTGGTTTATATTTTGTTTTTCTTCTGTAAACCAGATCTCAGGTTGAACTCGAACTGGGGAAGAAGTTTTGTCTAAAACAAGTTTAACACATCTCCTAAATCCAGGATGGCCTGTTTGTGGTGTTTAGTTGAACATGCCGGTGTTCTTTATAGATGGTAACAGTTGGGTTTGTGTTTAGGGAGAGACGGCCTACATCCGCGTGAAGATGGATGGCAACCGCAGCCCCAGCTACGGCCGCTCTCGCTCTCGTAGCCGCAGCAGGAGCCGAAGCAAGAGCCGATCCCGCAGCTACTCCCCACGCCGCAGCAGAGGATCCCCCCAGTACTCGCCAAGGCGCTCCCGCTCCCGTTCTCGTTCTCGCACTTAGACCTGTCTGAACAACAGCAGCGGTGTACCTCAGAGCCAGAGAGGAGGCGGTCACGTTTAAAATCCAATGTTTCCTCCCAGGATCATCTCTCACCTGTGTGCAGTGTTGTTTTGTGCTTTCACCCACCCCTCCTTCTCCCATTTGTGTCCTTTTGTTTTATTTTTTATTTTTTTTGCAGACCTGATGGTCTCCCCATACTCCTGTTTGAATCCCCCTCCCCTTTTCCTTTCTGTTTCAGCTATCTATCCATCCTCGTCTAGTTCGTATTTCTTTATTTTCTTAAATTCTTTCTCTTTTTGTTTTTGCCATCATCTTTGACTTCTCCCTAGCATATTCAACTGCCCTTTGACCTTCTTGTGTGTTTCTCTGTAGAATTCAGAGGAACAGGATAGGATGGGAAGAGAGGAAACTGTTCATTTTAGGATAAACAGGAGGAGGAGGAGTCAAATGTGGCACCAATGGTATGATGGCTGTGCCTTGTCAACTGTGAAATCTACACTTTAAGGCTTTAGTAAATCTCTTTTCCTTTAAAACACTCAGTTTACAGTTGAGTACTACTGTTGAATGTTACAGTAATGTTTGCTGTATTGTTTTATTTGGGGACCCTGAAAAAGTTTCTTTTTTTTCTTTTTGTAGACATAGTATTTTTGGATTTGATTGTAGATGGTGTCCCTTTTTTATCTCTAAGTAAATTCCCTGGTAGCTGAATTGATATTTTAAAAATGTTTTCCAAAGGTGTGATTCTAACTCACCTCCTTCTCTTTGGTTCTGCTGGTTATTCTAAAGGTTTGGACTGGGCTCAATGTCTCACCTTTCCGGATCCGGATTCAGGATCAGATTAGGATTAGGCTTCAGGATGGATACATGGAGCACGACCCCGGCCCTGTCCACCTTACCCCAGCTAACGGGAAACCTCATAGTAAAAGATACATAAATCAAACTGAATTGGCTTTCAGATTATCCAAATTATTCCTTCGTGTTTGCTTTGGGACCTCAGAGATGCAGTTACTGGCGGCAAAGAGGGGAAACCATAATTTTTTTTTTTTTTCAAATTTTTTGCTTTTTTCTCGTAAAAAGAAGAGCAAAGCTTGGATAGGATCCAGTAGGAGGGCTTGGAGGTGCAGGATGGATCTACACGCGTAAGGAGAGTGGTAACATGTGGGAAAGATTTGACTGGGTGGGGGAGGTAAATAGGGAAGGTTACCTTTAAAATGGTATGTGACTTTTCTTAGGTCAGTGCTTTCCAAAGATGGATGATTTCTGATTAATTTTTTCTTGAATATATTGTTCAGTATTTCACTGCTTTATTCTCTTTTAATAAAAACGTTCAGTAACCATAAGTGATTTGTTTGTTTTTTCCCTTGCACACCACACATCACAACATTTCTATTATCTGCATTTGGGAAACTAGCTTTTGTATGAGGCGATATGAATTTTTTTGTTTTGTTTTTTTTTTCTTTTCTTTTGGTACCGGTAATATGGTTCAGGTTATCTGTAGGTGATTCTCCCAACTATCTAATAATTTGTGTCCCAGGCAGAAATATGAAAAACATGTTTCTTTTTCTCTTTTATTCATGCTGTTATTACTTTAAACAAAGATGAAAATACAAAAAAAATTAAGATATATATTCTGTCATGACCATTAGACACACTACACATGGAGTAGTAGCTTGATGCAAACAACTAGAAAACCGATGGTTCTGTTAAGTGATGCAACCTTTAATAATGCGTATAGTCAGTGGTGTCAAAAGTACACACATTTATTACTTAAGAAGTATAGATAGTGCAGTTTAAAAACACTGGTAAAAGTTGAAGTATCAACTTGACCTCTGTACTCAAATAAAAGTGAAAAAGTATGTGCTCCAAAAACTACTTAAGGTATAAAGTAACCTTTAAAAAACCAGCCAGATGCCACTATATTAATTGAAAGCTCAATATAAATATAAACATTAAACAGAAGCCAAAAGTAAGGAGTAACGGTTTTTTTTATGTAAACAATAGAATTAGTATTAGTATTTGTTAGAAATGTATAATTTTGCATAACTTATGATTAGCCCTTTGTGCAGGACACCAGTCCCTAAAGATGTGAAAACCCAAAGCATGATGCTACCATCACCTTACTGTGTATCTGTACCCTACTAATTATGTGATAGATGCATTGAGTTGCTTGAAACAGGTTAATCTGTCACTGTTGGTCATTTTGGAATGTATCAAAAGAGAAACTGTATTTGTATAGGTCCACAAGAAAAGAGGGGGAGTGTTAGCCTAGTGGTTAGAGCTGTGCGCTTGTATGAGAATGTTGCAAGTATCTGGTTTAATCCCCACAGTCTGCACTAACCCCACACTACTTAAATTAATTATCTTTCTGCTTCTGTATCTTGGCTGGGCTCAATATAATTCCAGTAAAAAGCTAACACAGCAACGTCATTCAGATTATTTAAGAACCATAGTGTATGTAAACCTAGATGATATGAAATCACTCAAAAAAAAAAAGACCCCTCACTCTAAATGAACTAAACAATGTTTATAGAATAGAATATAAAATCGCTTTATTGTCCCACCATGGGGAAACTATGGTGTTACAGCAGCAAAAGATTTTAGCAAAAGTGGTCACACAAATGTGAAAAGTAAATAAAATGACAGACTAGTATAGAGTAAAAAAATAAAATACTATCAAGTGTAATATTGTGTATCTGGACAATAAATACCAATTTTACAGTAATGGATATGTTTATGTTTTTATGAAGTCGATACACATTGACCCTGAATCGTTGTTTAGTTTATTCTCATAAAATTAACGTTCAGTAGTATGTGTCTAAAATTTACTTGCCACTCAAAATATGGCGGGCTTGCTTGACGCGATGTTTATCAAAAGATACATCGGTGACGTCTACTATGACGCAGAAGGGGAGAGCGGTGCAACCTGGGTGGAAATAAAATGCGGGCCTTTTTCCGCGAGTAGAAATTAACCGTCAGCTGGGAGAAGGCTGAACCTTAGCCAATCACGGGCAGGAGCAGCTCCAGGAGGAGGAGCGAGAGAACCACGCGTCCTTCAATAAATGAAAGAAAAACTGTGCAGTTCCTCAAGCCGTGCATCTCTCAACACTGAAACTTCTCTCGGAAACGGTAAGAGTTATTTCAATAATACGCAGTACGCCTTGCTGGGAATGTCTAAATCACAGCAAATGCAGTGGGAATACTGGGAGGTTTGCGACTCTCCTGTGCTGTTAGAGCATACAAAACCGCATGATGCACTCTGAAAACTTGACTACAAAAGCTAATGGTGGCTGATGCATCCTTTCTACCAAAAGCACTGAATAGAAATTTATTTTTCCCCCTTTAATATTGAGTTGTCTTTAAGGTAGTAAAGGGATGCAAAATCTCCCCACTCCCAGCTGTAAAATACCACAAGAGGGCATCATGTCTGACAAGAAGGCCGTGATCAAAAATGCAGACATGTCTGATGAAATGCAGCAGGATGCAGTGGACTGTGCCATGCAGGCGATGGAGAAGTACAACATCGAGAAGGATATTGCTGCTTATGTTAAAAAGGTATGTATCCCACCTGGAAGTTGATAAATATCCCTTGCAAAGGACTATAATTTTGTTTTCTCTCATTTCCTGCAGGAATTTGACAAGAAGTATAACCCCACATGGCACTGCATCGTTGGCAGAAACTTTGGCAGTTATGTGACACATGAAACCAAACACTTCATCTACTTTTACCTGGGCCAGGTGGCTATTCTGCTCTTCAAGTCGGGCTAAAGTGTACGGTTATGCGTATGCTGTCGCCTCTCTGCAGACATGCCTACCTCCTGGTCCACTGCCCTCATTTGTCAATTACTTTGTGCCAACTGCGAAACGACCATCAGAGATGAGTGCTAACAGCCATGTCTGGACAAATGATTCAAAGGAAGTCTAAGCGTTAGGATCCATCTGATGGTGGCCCCTGGTCGGCGTTTGTACATCTTACTATCTCAGTTTTCTCAGTGTTTTGCTTTTCCGCTTTGTGCCGACCTGTACATTATTTCAAAGGAATTTGTCGTGAAATAACTTATTTTTTCCGTGCATTAAAATGAGCAACTGAGTTTGTGTTCTATTGCCTTTAAATTTTCAGTGATATCTTGTGGACTAAAGATACCAGGACTGTTGCTTAAACCTAATAAAAGCTGTGACCTGCAGAGAGCTGAAGAAGTTTCTACGTGCTTTTACAATTCCTGGTTATGCCTGTGAAGATCCAAATGTTGCTGTATATCTTTAAAAGAAAAAAATGGGATTCCCTGGCATTGATTCTATCCACACATTAAGAAATGTTGAGCACAAACCAACTTTGACCATTAAATTGTTCAAATGATGTCCGTTTTTTCAACCTTTTTTTTTGCGTGAAGTATTATGCCATATTTCTTACTGATGGGACTAAAGGTGAAGTAGTTCTCACCAAAATGGGTTTCTAATTTATTTTAAACTATCGGTTGCAATGTTTTAAACTTTTCTATAAAACAAATTGACTCATGTTTTGGGAGCTTTTTTTTTTTTTTTATAAAAAAAAAAAGGTAAATTTGTTTGTGGTAAGGCTTGAATTGAAAAGTTCACTAGGAACAGATATATGTAACACAAAAGTGGCTCCATGAGACTATTCTCATTATGGATAAATATTTCTTGGAGGTTTTTATCTTAGATTTTACATAAATCATTCTTTGGAAATTTCAGCTAATTGGCTTGAAAGCATCTTTAAACACCATGAGGCATAATGTAGATTGTATTTAGGTCCCAGGGATGGCTAGGGGGGGGACCAATTTGCGTGGCCAAAAGAGAAAAGGTGCCAAAATCGTACAGCCCATCTACACTCTATCAGGAACATGACTGAGCATAATGTCTGTATTTCCAAATCAAGACCTTGCTAATCAATGCATTTACACATCCATGCTGTCTAAATTAAAGGTAAACGATAATTTTTCATCTTTAATAGGGAAAATATCTTTGTAGTTCAATTTCTAAAAAAGTCCATTTTGTTTTAAAATAGGTATGCTCACTACTCTTACATCTGCAACAGTCAAGGTGAATGATGAATATATGATAACGTATATAGTCTATAAGGAGTATAGTGTTGGATGAAAACTGTAACAATTCACTTTGTTTCCCCTGTTCTGTGAAAACGTATTACAATGAGGTCGTTGTGAATTCACAAATAACTTTGGAGAATTTTCATCTAAGGTTAGAAATTATTACATAGAAAATATAACCTATAATAAATAGTCACTTCAGATGGTTATTGGTTGGCCCAGATATTAAGTCAAATGTCAAATCACATATGAAATGATCAAATGGAATAGATGCATATTTCTTTCCTTCTTGTCATTTACTGGAATCAGAAATATGCATGCATTCAATTCGTTTTGCTATTTTTAAAAAACATGATTATATTTAAATTAGAACTGGTTTTAATCCTAAACCGCCTCAAACAAGGCACCATGAGGGACTTGGTCCAATGCCTTCTCCAGGTCCACAAAGTAGATGCGGTCTGTTTGGGCAAACTCCAACTAACCCTCAGGGACCCTGCAGAGTGTTCCAGGAGGACAACAACACGGCTCTTCCTGAAGCCAAACCACCAGCCTGATTCTCCTCTCCAGCACCCTGGCATAGGCCTTATCAGGGAGACTGAGATGGAAGGCGTGTGAGCCGGATGAAATATTCTTTCCACCTTCTGATGATGTCCTCTTTCAGTTCCATAGTTCTGCTTGTTCTCTCCTGCTAAGACCTACAGCATACACTGGAGTGGTTCACAGCCATGTGTGAATCTGCCGGGATGAGAATTAGCTCCTCCAAATCTGAGGCTATGGTTCTTGACTGGAAAAGATGGATTTTCCCATTTAGGTGGAGCAGAATTTCTGTCTCTATTAAGGAATTTAAGTCTTATCTTGGGCTCTTGTTGAGAAGTGAGATGAGAATGGAGTAGGAGATCCATAGATGGACTGATGCGGCGGCTGCTATAGCGCGGACGCTGCGCAGTCTGTTGCGGTGTAGAGGGAACTGAGTGAAAAGGCAAAACTCTCGATTTACCCGTCAGTCTGCATTCTTACCATCACCTTTGGTCATGAAATCTTGTATACTACCTGGAGAAGTGTTCCAGGTATGTCCTACAGGAAGGAGGCCCAGGGGATGAGCCAGGACATGCTGGAGGGAATATGTCTCACTGCTGGCCTGGGAGTTCCTTTGGCTTCTCCCAGCGGAGCTGGTGGAGGTGTCTGTGGGGGGGTTGGAGTCTGGGACTCTCTAAATGGGAGTGCTGTCCCACACGAAGCAGTCCCAGATGAAGCAGCTAAAGAGCAGAAAGGAAACACTGGTAGTAGTGGTTACTGGCAGAGGTGGATAATCCAAGTCAAGAATGTAAAATGCCTTTTAGGAGGTTACTTCCAACCAAATGCAATTTTCAGCCCCACAATGTAGACTAATAACCTGAGGGTCTAACTTGGTTAACTGAACAAGATGGAGGAAAACAAGGCAGGATTTTTACTTTCTGGATCTGGATTATCTACCTCTGGCATTTAGAAAAACAATACAGACAAAGACTCTGTATAATCAGTCAAAAAGTCAGTTGAAGAGTATAGTAGTCCCTTTCGTTATTCCACATCTAAATATCATATCAAGTCATAGAGTTAATGATAATTTGTCTGTTTACACAGGAGCGCTAGTGGCATTAACGCTTGTACTACTTTGGGTTGAAGAAGCAAAACCTGACTCAGTTATTGTTTGTTCAGATTCTAACAGTGCTCTAACTAGTGTTAAGGAAATTAACTTAGTATATCCATCCATCCATTTTCTGTCAGGCTTATCCCAAGTGGGGTCGCGAGGGGTGCTGGTGCCTATCTCCAGCTGTCTACGGGCGAGAGGAGGGGTACAGCTTGGACAGGTTGCCAGTCCGTCGCAGGGCAACACAGAGGAACAGGATAAACAACTTTCACACACACACACACACACCTAAGGACAATATAGAGAAACCATTTAACCTAACAGTCATGTTTCTAGACTGTGGGAGGAAGCCGGAGTACCCGGAGAGAACCCACACATGCTCAGGGAGAACATGCAAACTCCATGCAGAGAGAGTTGGGAATCTAACCCGGATCTTCTTGCTGCAAGGCGGCAGGGGTACCCTTAAATTCAGCATAATTTAATGTTATATATAAATGTAATTTTATATAAATATAATTTTATGACTATGAAAATTGTTAAATTGTAGATTCACACTGCAGTCATCAAAACTATAAATTAACATAAGGAATTATATACATAACAAAAAAGTGGGAAACAACTGGAAATGTGTCTTATATTTTAGGTCCTTCAAAGTAGACACCTTTTGCTTAACTTACTGCTTCGCACACTCTTGGCATTCTCTTGATGATATAAATATAATTTAAATCATCCATAGGAGTGAAGGGGCATGAGCTGCCATGACTTATATGCTAAAAAAGCAGCACAGAAAACCCAAGTGGAAATTACCATCAGGTACAGTAAAACAGAAATTTAATTTATAGTGGAAAAAAAAGTGGCCAGTGAAGATTTGGAAGGAAGAATGGGACAGATAATGTAAAGGAGACATTTGTACAGAATTCAAAATGTCATTCTGATAAGAAAAACAAGTAAAGAGAGAATGGAGGAGGATATTATAAGTAGGTGGAGACCAGGACACACAGGACTTAATAATATACAAATACAAACAAAGATGATAGATATATTTTTTCGTTTTTAAGGAAAGCAGGTTTATACCATTGAATGTAGGTCAGTTTTAAATTCTGATTCACTCTTCTATCCAGAAGGTGGCGGTGTTTCTCGCCAGTCGCCACTAAACAGTAGAAGAAGAAGAAACATGTCGGCTTCCGTAGGCGCGGTGGCACCGGCTTTCAGCCGTTCTGTCGTCTCTTCTTTCACCTCCATGGCTCTGTCCGCCGAGGCCCCCCCGTTCCACCCCAGAGGTGTGGATGCCCCACAGCCAGACTCTCTGTCGGAGGCAGAGAAACAGTTTTCTCGCTGCGCCGCTAAACTCCGATCCTTACGGGAAGACAGCGGGCAGCTGAGAGAGGAGCTCAACCAGCTGTTTGACCAGCTGCTTTCAGAGAATTATAACAGGAGCTGTGAGCTCCCCATCACCATCAGACCAGAGGTAACACCTTGTCCACCTGCAGCCGGGCTTCTGTTATTCTGGCTTTCCTGCTTGGTCTGATAATTTCCATTTCTTTTCCCAGGATGTTTGCATCCTACTGAAGCACGCCAGCGGTCTAGTCCCTCTAAACCAAGAACATTTAGTTGTCAAGTTCTGCCAACTAGTCCATCACCTCCTGAACCAGCTGAAGGTAAGAACCAGGAGGGTGCAGTGGAAACAGTTCAATCTACATTAACCACACTGGATCAACAGGAACAGGAAAGAGCACCTTGTATTTCACAAATGATGAAGCCCCTACTAATAAATTCAAAAAAAGTAAAAACAAAAAACAATCCATTGGACTGGATCACAAGCTTTTTCAATTAAAAATGTCAGAATTAGCATTGAGTTCAAAGCTTTATAGTTTGGACCAAAAACAAAGCCTTGTGTTGGCTTAGAAAACATGCAAATTGACCCGGAAGATCAGGCCCACTCCTTAGTAATGGGGAGTTGCTGAGGTCTTTGTTATCCTGCAATCCCTGATACTGGTCTATGCCTCTCAAAGTGGGTCGTTAGGGGCATTGTTTAATGCCCCTAACCTATCATTAATGGTCATTAATCATTAATGGTTCTGCTTAATATACATAATAAATGCATTGAACAGTGGTTATTTATCCTGTTGTGGTTCTAGAGCAAGTTTACCAGGGTGAGGCCAGTGTTTTTCATTGGGACACAGGAAAAAAAAGAATGAACAACAAACAGGGCTGAAGTTCATTGTCTGGTATATAAAGAGAACCAAAGACCCATTTTAAGCCTGGAAACCTCAAGTCTAGCTTATTAAGATTAAATTCAGTTTATTTCTATTGCGCCAATTTTACAACACATGTCATCTCAAGGCACTTTACAATTCACCAGATCAGACAGTCAAATTGATTCAAAGTTTCCTATCTAAGGAAAACCAGTTGATTGCATCGACTTATTGACTCGGATGCAATCCCTCACACCAAGCATGCTTGTAGCGACAGTGGAGAGGACAAACTCCCTTTTAACAGGAAGAAACCTCCAGCAGAACCAGGCTCAGTTTGAGTTGCCATCTGCCGAGGCCGACTGGGGTTCAAGGAGATAGAAGCAGAGATACAAAAAGCAGCTGTAAAAGGCGGCCCCGTCCAGGAAACACACAGCCAGGCAGACGAGATCCGAGCCAGTTCCCATGTCAGAGGATGAAGAGAGCACATCCAGCCAGTCACAGTCAGAGAAACAGGACTACACTGGAAAATAGGGCCGATCTCCAACATCTATAAACAAAGTTGTTGATTGCAGCTGCCACAGCCAAACAGGAACCAATGAGGAGAAGCTACTATGAAAAAAGGCAGTGAGAGCATAATGTTAAGAGGGATTAAACTAATTCTAATAGAGATAGAATGAAGCAAAACTATGAAATAGGGGTCCCTATGTCCTCCAGAAGTCTAAGCCAATAGCAGCATAACTATAAAGTTAGCTCAGGATCTCAATCACAATCTTAAAGCACTTTACAGAGACATTTCAACCAGATACAGAAAACTCTGATCTTATGTCCATATGCAGTGCAGACCAAAAGGTTGGACACACCTTCTCATTTAAAGAGTTTTCTTTGTTTTCATGACTATGAAATTTGTAGATTCACACTGAAGGCATCAAAACTATGAATTAACACATGTGGAATTATATACTTAACAAAAAAGTTGTTTCACATACCACGAGAGGGATACCACGCACTAGCTTCCTTGATGTTGCCATGACAACATAACTTCTGTGAACTTGTGTTGATTAGACCTCAAAATAATTTAATAAAAATATAAATACACATAATAAAAAAAAGAAAAATGGCAAAAAAAATTCCAAAAAAAATCAAAAAGAAAGGAAAAAATGGGGAAAAGAATTTTAAAAAAAACAATTTTAAAAAAAGAAAAAAAAAAAACCTAGTGGTCCCTGAATGCATTGCAAGGGGTACATGAAAATATTTTATTTCCTTGGGAACAAAATAAGGCTGGGATCGATTTCCTTCTGTTTTATTGAAAAATAAAACAAGTTTTTACCAACCAAACAGTAATTTTTTGTTATATGTTTGAGTTCACCAACAGCTTCGACAAACATCAAAACCAAGCAGAGGAACAGACTGAATGTAGAGAACAGCTGTTTATTACACAGGTGTATCGGAGCTCATCAAAGCAGCTCAGGTGTCTAGATGAAAACAAAGTAAAACTCAGTCTAACTATAAGTTTTGTTCTGGATTTTGTTCCAAATTCATCAAGTTTAAATGTGATTATAAGGGAGTTACCCAGGGGAGCTCCAGCTTTATAAAGGCAGATTTATAGTATGGTTTTATTTTGTATTTATTTTAATTACCTACTAACTTCCAGGCATCATATTTATGTTTTATTTTATTTGAGATGGAAAGAATAAAATGCCTAAAAATAAAATGCTTAAGTTAAAAGATTAAGTAAAATAATTTGTATTTTATAATTAATTACTGTAAGTTCCACTTTTGGATAGTCAACAATACTTTTGACTGGAGGGGGACTCATGGTGAGACAGAATGGCCAAAGGGCTACACAAGTCAAGGTTTGAGAAACACTGATCTATGAGTGTCTCTTTAGAATTATGAAAAAAAAAAAAGAATATTTTAAAGATATTTGTTGTTTGTCTTCACCAGTTCTGAGCATCTTTAGGCATCACTTTTCAATAATCTAAACCTTTCTGCAGTAACTCTGGGTGTTTAAGGTTATTTATTTACTAGAAGACAATCATCCATCCGGTGATCAAGTCTTTTTTTTATCCTTTCAACAGGTTTTTTTCCAAACATTCCCTGTATTTGTCTATATGTATATTTTAACCATTAGTAATCAGTAACAATGCTGCCGCATCACTATATGAACCCATCTTTGTTCTGGTTGAATGTTTTCAAGGTAATAATGGATGAACAGACGCTGGACGTTCTGGTAAACTACACCGCCAATGCCATGAAGCAATGCAGTACCTGGACCCACTCTGATGTCCTGCTGGCACTTTCCACAGTAGTGTATGGGAATGGATCTCAGTGCCATCAGGTAGATCCTATTGCTGTTTTATTTTGTTTTTGTTGTAAAAATTATATATATATATATATATATA